ACATCTTATTTTCATCTTTTTCTACTTCTTACTCTTAATTATCATCACTATCTCTGTTAGATTCTCTTAACTAGACAGGAATTACGTACATCATTTCTAAATTTTAGAGTTTATAGTCAGCTTTGTTATAAAGCACTGGGATTTAGTGAGTGGTGTTGTTACATAATTGTGATAGTTGTTGCTAGGGGACTGTAACATCTTTGGGACGAAGCCACACTCCAAAGTTGCCAGTTCTCTCAGCCGTTTCAGACTGGCAGAGATGCACTGTCAATGGTAGACGGTTTTTAACTAGAGGCTGTCCCTTCACCCAAATTCATAATAGCTCCCCTAAGTGCTTCAATTCAGACAAACGTTTCTATTACAGCAGTACTTTTGGTTTGCTCTACCGAAAAACTTCACTTCACGCTGAGGGTGAAATTACCATATTTAGCTGCTGTAAAGCTCTTTGCCAAATACTGCACAGCTATTAGGTGATATAAAGTATTTTTCTAAAGGAGCTAGTAAAGCCACAAGTGGCACTGCTCTGAACTGTATTTAGTATTTTCTCTTCATTAGCTTTAACTCCTGATGTTATTAGCAACTGTAATATTTAGCATTGATTTCTTATAGGGAACTTTCAGGTGAAGCAACTCTTTTGTAAGACAGCTAGATTTTCTGAAGTTTGTTTCCCATCTAGAAAGCAGTCATTTTTTTGAATGCCTGTTTCCTTGTCTCCTTAATTAGATTTGCAAAGGAATCACTCATTGCAGGCAGTTTGTTCAAAAGGTAAAGAATTTTTTTAATTTCAGCATAAGTTTCTTCATGTCTAAGACAACGTTCAGTGTATAAACTGCTTTCTCTTGTTTTAAGGATTTTAAAGTGGCTTGTTTGCTCTTAAAAGGTAGCTTTTTGTCTTCCAACTACCGTAAAAACTTTGCACAGCTATTAGGGTAAATAAGGCATTTTACCAATGGAGCCCCAAACCGCGAAGCACCTAGTTCCGTATCCTTTCAATTTTTCATTGGAACTGACACTTAAACTCTTAGATGATTTTCCTCCTTATTCTTTTAAAAGCTGTATTTTAAGTTTACCATGAACGTATTTTCGAGCTGACAAAAGTGTTCAAGGGCAATGTCACCATCTTTAGCGGAAAAACTACCTTTCCCAGAATGCATTTCCCTTATATCAGTCCATAATGTTATCAGTCCCTTATATCAGTCCTTTATATCATTTCCCTTATATCAGTCATTTCCCATAGTTCTTTTCGGGTCTGAGAGTCAACTGGTTCTCTTTTACAAATTCTTGCCCGGGAGGTTTGAACAAAGTTTTTTGCTTTTACAATGGGAGATTTGAACAAGCATTTTACATTTTCAATTATGGGACATTGGGAGGTTTCTGGTCTCTCCTCAGCTGGCTTTAACAGGTGTCTCGCCTTCATTTGACACTGGCCCCAAATCAGAACCACACCTGCCTTGTTAGCCGGCATTGAGGCTGGCATTTCTGATAGCAACTTTCCTCGGGGCTTGTGTTTGTCTTAGCCAGTCAGTGAAAAACAAGATCATTTACAACAGCTTTTCCATAGCTCCTTCAGAGATTTTTCTCCCACTGATCTATCTCAATTTGCTTGTTCCTTCCTTCCCCAGATGCAGAGCTTCAGGTATCTGTCTGCGGCTCTGTTCCTCTGCTAGCTGCTTTTGGAAGTAGGGGCTTTTTTCTTCCCCTGAATCTGCCTCAAATTCTAGCAGCTTTTCACAGGCCATGTATTTTCTGGGGAGGAATATGTCCCTTCTGTTTCTTGGGAGTCTTTTTCCCAGACAGTTCCCAGTTTGGTCTCAGTTTGTCCCCTCTACCCCAGAAACAGTTTCCAACACTACAGTGGTGGCTTTCCCTGCTACTGAAGGTAGGGGCTTTTTGTCCGTTTGTTTTCGGGGTCTGTGTGGTTTGCATACAGACTGAAAATCTAACAAGGGAGGTTTTTGCCATTTGTAAACTCCCATTAGGACAGGTGTTTTGCCTCATCAGGCCTTCACCTGGCCCAGTCCCCCAGTGGGTTGCATTTGCTTGTCTGGGTGCTCAAGGACAGAGCTTATGGCAGAGGCAATCACCCCTTCGGGCTACACTCCCTCATCTCAGGGAGTCAGTTGAAACAAAGTTTTTGTCAAAAACATGCTTTCTCTGACAGAAAAGAAAGCTTTACTCCTGGATAGTTCTGTTCTGCCCTGGCTGGGCTCTTTCCCCAGACAGCGTTCTGACTCAGCAGCACAACTGCTTCAGACACAGTTCAGCTTTACTGTTTTCCCAGAAAGGTCCTTACTTTGATAGAAAAGCTTTTTTGTCAGATTTCTTTTTTTTCAGCTGTGGACCTATCAACCCGGGACTTGTAGGAAAGTGGACAACTGTGCTGTTCCCACCGGCTTTAGCTTTGGTTGTTCATTAGCAATCTTGCCCTGGGTCCCTGCACCTTCCTGCCTCAGCTCTGTGCTCCAGGAAGTTTACTACTGCAGGAACCCTAGTATCCCTGAAATGCACTCCAACTCAGAGACGCTGGCCAGTCGCCTCTGGGTTTTCGGTCAGAAGCGAGGATACAATGCTAACAGTTTGCATCGCTTCAGGGGATCTTTGCTTAGGACGATTGGGAGCACTTTTTCATTCTGAAATGCTCAAACAAAACCCTTGATGCCTCAGCTGGGCTGTAACTGAAAAGCTTGGCTTTTTTGCTTTTCTCAAGGTAGTTTCCTGCCCTTTTGGGCTCTCTGTTGCTCTTCACCCACACTCTCCCAAGCGTTTCCCTCAGGGGACTCTGACCCACTGTCTTTTACTAGCTTGAAAAGACAGTTTAGAAGAGGTTTTTAGGAACTTGTCCCTGCCTCCTGCATTGCAGGGAGGATTTTTAAAGCTTGAAAGAGAACTTAGAGAGGTTTCGCTGTCTTAAGAGGTTTGTTGTTTTCCCTTAGAGCTAATCACAGGTGGTCCCCATACTAATATCTTCAGGTGATTCTAATTTTTGTCCTTCTGAGAAAGTTAAAGGCTTTAGTTTTTAAGTTTAAGAGAGCTTTTGAGAAAGATTAAGGCTTTTTAGAGATTTTTTCCCCCAAATTTTCCAAGAAAAGCTTTATAGTTTGAGAAAGATTTTTTTTTCCCCAGGAGAAAGACCAACTTTTCCCAAAACTTCCCAACTTTAAACTTTGTCTTTTTACACCCCCATTTTTGCCTCAGGGAGAAATCACTTTCTTCTGCCTCTTGGACTTAGCATTTCAGCTGTCCCCAGGTCAAAAGCTTCCATAGGAAGCTTTTTCTTCCCCATAAGCTCAGAGAAGAGCTTTACTACCCGTAAAGCCCAAAGAAAGTTTTTCCAGTTTGCATTCATAGCGCCCAAAGTTAGAAAATTGTAGAGTTTTTCTGTCTAGTTGCCTTACTTATTTTTTCCTACACAATCTTACACTTCTAAGTTTTTCCTAAACTATATTTCTACGCTATACCTTATACTTATTTTTCACAGATAGAAATTGAGAAAGGGATAGAAGATAGAAAATTTTGACAGAAAAGAATTTCGCTGCAGCATCGGACATCCTTCCAGTCCGCTTTCCTTTTCTCTCGAGGATAAAACCCCTGCCTCTCAATAATATATATAAAATATATATTTTTCATAACACTGGCATGCCTTATCCACTGGCAGGGCTGACTCAGCACTTTCGCCAAAAACTCTGTAATAAAACTATTATTTTCCTTTATCTTTAGTCCCTATTACTTTGTCTTTAGTCCCTGTTCATTTGTCTTTAGTCCCCCTTTTTTTTAGTCCCCCCTTTTTTTCTTTTTTCTTTAGTCCCTGTTCATGGCGCCATTCTGTGGGGCGTTTACCCAACCACCCCCACAGTTCCCCAGAGTTTTCTTGAGTGCGAGCAGCAGGAAATATTAGAAGGATTTATTGCGGAGAATATCGCGGAGATAAACAGATAGAAAATAAAGGATAGCCTCGAGAGGGCCTGGAACCTATTCCAACGGGCCCGACTGTCTCTGCCCCAGGGTTTTTATAGAGGCGCCAAGGGGTGGAGCAAAAGACCTCCTCCCCCAGCACAGCCAAGTGCAGACCATCTCAGACACCTGCACTCAGGCCCGTGGTCCTAATCATCCTCTATGCGGACCTGCTGGGTAAAGCCACGAGGAACCCGAGAACGGGCTCCCACAAGAGACCAACCTAAGAATACAGAGTTGAGATTAAAAGCAAACAAACAAAATAAGGTATTTAAAAGATACATTTTATATATAGAAAATCCCCCAAATCTAAGGAAAGAAATGACATTCCAGTACAAAAGGCATTCAGAACTCTAAATAGACATGACTACAGAACACCCTCTCCACAATACATTAAAGATACTAAAAGAACAAAGAAGCACTATGAGACACTGTGAGAGAAAACAACTCACACAGGGAACCAAACCAGAGTAAGATCGCCTCTCAAAACAACCCTGAAAAGCCAGGCTAGCGTGGAACAAAAGTACTTCCCACCAAGACTGCTGTATCCAGCAAAGCTGTCTTTCAAAACTGACAGAGAAATAGGGACATTTCAAGAAAAGCACAAGACTAAAGCAATTCATGGCCACCAAACAGGAGTGTGCGTGCATGCGTGCATGCGTGCGTGCGTGTGTGTGTGTGTGTGTGTGTGTGTGTGTGTGTGTGTACACAGTGCACATGTAAGTATGTCCATGTGTGTATGGAGGTCTGAGGCCAATATCAGGTGTTGTTCTTGATGGCTTTCTACCTTATTTTTGGAAACAGTGTCTCTCTGTCAACCTGGAGTTCAAGTCAGCTACACTGGCTGGTCAGCAGATCCTAGGGCTCTTCCTGTCTCTGCCTTCCCAGTGCTGAAAGAATAGGTTTTTTTTGGGGGGGGGGGTTCTGAGGCTCAAACTCAAAACCCCATCTTTGCCTGACTGAGCCCCGCTCCCCAGGCCACCCCTCGAAGCTGTTTGATCAATCACCTAATAACAGAAAAAAGGCAAGCAAGGAGTCTGAAATCAAAATGTTTTTCAGAAAATTTCAGAAATTTTATTTTTGTTTTTAAAATTCATGTTTAAACAGTATTCCAAGGCAAAAAAATTAATAACACATATAAATTGTAAGTACAAAAAGCCTCCAAAGCACATAAAACCCATGGTACAAACCATCTTCACATATACAAAGTCCAACGTCATTTCTCACATAGAAAGCACAGCGAGGAAAGGGCTCGTAGTGCGCATCCGCAGGCTACAGGCCGAGCCTTCTCGGCCAGGCCTGAGGCTGCGATATAAGCTGTCTCCTTCCGTGTGCTACTGTGTCTTCCTCTCCACTTTCCTCTTCAAAGACAAAGACTTCTTAAAAACTGCTGTTCACTAGTTCACTTCAATAACCCAGCTACAGAACAGATAAGCCACTAACGTTCTCTGAAGAGCAAAGTCTGATTCTTTTGCAGCAAGTTCTAAGTAAGACGTACTGTTCAGGTATTTATTTTTATAAAATTAAGATTTTTTTTCACTTATCACATCTGCTTAAATCACAGTAAGTGTGTAAACTAGTTCCTCAACCTACCAACCAAAAAAGATTAAAAAAAAGAGCAACTTCCTTAATTCTGTACAAGATTTTGTTCACTCTAGTCACAGTTCCTGCAAATGCCATGTGGGCATATCTAATCTAAAACCCATCCACGGGCTGGAGTGCTTGTCTGGCACGTTCAAGGCCCCGGTTTCAATCTTCAGCACCACACAGAACTAAAACTAAAACACACAAGTGGTTGATTCCCTCTGCCCACACCCCAGCTAGTAGCACGTACTGACAACAGAGACAGATTCATTGACTACTGTTCATGTTAGTACTCATTAATTCCTATTGCAAAATGAAGCTATTGGAGTTTTTGTTTTATATGGAAACTACAGCTATTACTGCTGGGCAGTGGTGGCACATGACTTTAATCCTGGTACTAGGGAGGCAGAGGCAGGTGGATCTCTGTGAGTTCAAGGCCAGCTTGGTCTACAGAGCAAGTTACAGAACAGCCAGAGCTACATAGAGAAATCTTGTCTTGGAAAAACAAAAACAAAAACTACATCTATTACTAATTTATCTCTATTGTCCTTAATATTTCTGAGGAAAGCTATCAAATTTAAGCTTCAACTAAAGATCCTAAAAGGAGATTAAAAACCAAATTAGTCACTGACGTTGCAAAGTTTTTTCTGCATCAAAAACCATCTCTCCCAGCTACTTAGGAGTCTGATACAAGAGGACCACAGGAGCCTGTGTGATAGATAGAATCACTGTGTGAGTTCGCATTTCCCAGGGAAAAACGGTGTTGGCTTTTGGGGGAGATACAGGAAACAGGAAGCGAGGGGAAGGAGGAAGCCATCATCTTCCTGGATCTTGGGGATTTCTGTGGAACTGCACAGAAACCATAAACAATTCTCTTGAAAGTCATAAAGAGAATGGCACTGATAAATGACATTTATCCAGAAGTAAACAGATTAAAGGATTGAACAGATTAAATGTTTTACTATTTCACATTTCATTGACATACTAACAGCTAACTATGGAACAGAGGGTTAAGCTTAGTCAAGCAATAAGTAAAAAACAGAGAGGGCGGGCATGGTAGTGCACACCTTTAGTCCCAGCACTCAGGAGGCAGAAGCAGGCGGATCTCTGTGAAGCCAGCCTGGTCTCATAGTGAGTTCAGTCAGGACTGTTACACAGAGAAACCCTGTCTTTAAAAAACAAAAAACAAAACTGGGAGAGTGCAGGGTGGTGCCCAATTCAGACACTGACAACCAGAGGCCAGCCACACACAGGGCTGTCATCGGCTACAGAGAGAAATCTCTCTAACGGAAGACTTTAGCTCATAGAAAGAACTGTTGAAATACAACACTCACTGAGTTATCAAAAGAAATGTTGCAGACTGTGCACAAAGACACAATAGTTTAAAGCAAATTTAAAGAGTGCAAATAAGCAACATGATTGTATTTGGAAAACCATACCCCCCGGGGGTAAGTGTGGCTCAGCAAACCGACCACCATTACCTTGCAGCACAGCCTGCATAATGAATGATAGCATCAACACATAGAATTCCTTCAAATGGTTCTCATTAATTACACCAACCAATTTGAATGCATCAAGGAAGAAGTTTAACAATAGTGTAACAAGGTACATATTTACATTTCCTTTGCTTGTTAGGAACAAACTGTTAATAACGATGATAATTACTGAAAAAATGATGACCAGAGTAAAAGTGTGTTCATTTGTGGAGACGGCTATACTAACATTATTCATCCAGCCATGAACACTTTTGTAATGAATGCAATACTACAATACAATTCACAGCATTATAAAACGTTGATGGACAGAGTTTCAATTTTTTCCAATTCAAAATTAAGGAGCTGAACTACATTAATGCCTAGCCATTTTACTCTAAAACCTGTAAAATATATAAAATACCAAGATTATCAACAGTCACGTATGTCCGGAAGTCAGGGGACACATGTATTTTCTTGAGGTTTGTTCCATTTGTGTAGAAGGTCTGTGAGGATTCCCCAGTGACAACATTCCACCACTGTTCAGAGAAAAACAAAACTTTCATTAGATTGGTACTTCCATTGCATGGTGAATTTTAGTGCCAACCAGCTCCTTCACCAACTACTCCTGACTCCTAAGCCAAGCAATGAGCAGGGATGGCACCTGAGGTTTACTGCTGAAGACTACCAGCCTTGGTTGGTTAACCCTAGTGATGGCCTCACAGCCATGTCTGCACCCATGGCCCCTGCAAGGCACTCTAGAAAAAGCAACGGCCACTAGAGAGCTGGTGACACAGTGTGTTGGGGAGGGCTGGGGCTGTTTGTATGTCTTCTCCACGGAATGAGCACATGGCTGCTTCTATGCACTAAGACACGCTTCTATAGCCATGGCCTGGACTCCAACAGATACCCAGACCACTCATAGTACAGACAGGAAGGAAACCAGTCTTCTAGAGAACCCTTTCACCAGGGGTGATGCAGGCTGCTATGTGGCCATCTTTGCTGAATACCAATCACCTCCAATGAAGCAGGGGCTCTAAGCACAGCCTTCCCTTCCTACCCCATCACTGAATTCATGAAGAGCATAACACTATTTTTACCCAATGGAGTTCACAAAACTTACTGTCCTATCTCAGAGCTAAACTGAGGGCAAGAGACAATGCACGAGAACATGTTTTCAAAAGGTCTACAGTCCACCAAGAGCCTGAGTGTCACAAACACAGACAATACTGTCGCCTATGTGCTCAGGACAGAGCCTAACACTCCGCCTTGCCATGACACAGGCTTGAGTGTTATCTTTACTCTTGGGAGTAGGACCTGGTAAATGTGTATGTCACAAGGTTTGGTAAAACTCACTAAAGCAGCATGCGCTTCCTAAAACAGCACCATAACCCAAAGCACAAAGAACGCAGTCCAGCTCGAGAGGACTTGTTTTCAGTGACTAGGGCTTGTAGAGTTCATCTCCTAGACCCACCTGCCTCACTTTAAAAATAAGGAACCTGGGTTCCTGAGGGAATCAAGACTCAGAGGACAGTAGAAGTGCACAGCAGAGGTGGAATAGTTTCTGACTTTCAAATGTAGTGTCCATCCATCCACCTGTCCCTCCCCCTCACCATTAAAAAGGACTGTTTTTCCTGCAAATTCTACAACAGCCACTGGTTCAATATGGAATGGAAATACAAGATTTCACAGCAGCAAACACAGGATTTCAGGGTAGTGAATTACTCAATATGACTCTATAGTTGTAGATACATGCCATTAGAGATTTATCCAAATGCACAAAATGTGCGATACCAAGCCTGATCCTTATGTCAACCATGCACTTTAGATGATGACGATGGATTGGGTTAAGTGTATCAGTTATAATAAACATTAATATCTGATGCTGATAGTGGAATAAGCCTGAGTATGTATAGAAGCAGAAGATACATAAGAAATATCTGTAATATGGTCCATGTTATCATTATATCCATCTTATAGACAAAACAACTGGGCAGACAGAGGTAAAACAACCTTGTGAAAAGTCACCGAACTAGTGAGTGGCAGAGCTGGAATCTGAACTCAGGCAGTCTGTCCCCGGGCCCACTCCCTAGTCATAACAACACTCTTCCGAGTATAAAACACCTTTATTCATGACCCTGAGTTCCACATTGTAAATCAGCCTTTGCCTTCAGTGTATGAATGAATGGAACTTGTCATTCTAGCAGTCTGTATTCTGTGGCATGACCCTGGCAAAAGATAAGTTATGTTTTCATTTATAATAATTTTGAAAGAAAGGTAAGAACATTTTAGCTACTAGACACCTAGTATCTTACTGGCACTCAATTTACACTGCTCAGATTTGAAAGTAAACAGACCCAAAATGCCTAATTTCTTGGCCACTCTAGCAGCTGTTTCTTCTTACTCCTAATTTGTTCTGTGCCTTTGGATGGTCTCATTAACATGCTGGGTAGATGCAGGCTGGGTTAGAACATAATTAGTTTAACTAAGCTAGTAATCAAACAGAAGGCAAAGCGCTGACTGTCATGTCAATACATAGATGACACAGACAGGCATGACTTCCTTCTTCCAGCCTCCAGACATAACCTTTACAGCGCAGCAGCAGATCCACCTTCTACTTCATGTCAAGGTTGTTGGTCTTCGGAATATCCTAAAAGCCAGGCACAGTTATGCAGGGGCATTCCACAGAGCCCAGAGATTCTAGAAGCTTGGTGTCAAGACTGGGCAGTTACGTTTTCAACAGCGAAAGATACAGCTTCCAATACAACATCTCTCCTCTAAGCACCATCCTCAAGCTCAGAGTTATTTATCTTTACACTCAAGGAGGACAAGTGGCATTAATAGTCCAGGAGCTCTTGATGACTAAATGAATGTGTGCCCCAAAAGGTATCCATTAATAAACTTTATAAGACTTATTTCCAATGCAGGCTGGAGAGGTATCATTTCACAAATTGACAACATCTCCTCATTTATCTTTTATAAGCTAGATGCTGAGTGACACTGCAATAATGTAGGACCCTTATAACCAGAGACTTCATTCAAACACATCTGAACATCTGTACTGTGAGGTAATGAGACCATCTTCGCTTAGCTGTTTTCAGGAACCATCAACCACCTCACAAAATCCTATGGGATCAGTTGTAAATGAATGCCCAAGTGGTCAGCATCACGTACAGTATCCTTTTCTACACCTTTTACAACTGACCTGTCCATTCCTCTCCTCTGTCCCTCCACTTACCTCCAGCAAGCTTCTCTCAGGCCCCTCCTACAATTTAGGGACCTTATTTTCCATTTGCTTTCTGTATGGAACATTAGCTACCACTGGGAAAGGACAAGCCTTAAATATGCACCACAACACACAGCAGGCACTGAACAGAGTCTTACTGAATGGATAAATGGGCCAATAAATGACACTGGAGCCCTACAACATGCTTAAGCCTTGGCCCCAATAGTCACTATTGAGTATGCACGAGCCCACTTGTCAGAGTCAGTGGAGGAGGCAGAGGACCTGCTGTGAGTCTTGGCCCTTGTAGTTACTAATCACAAAGTTCTAAGATACTGATAACCTCCAGGAAGATCAGTTCTGTCCATCTGTAACCCACAGGGAGTAAAACTTGAGCATCACAAAACTGATTAGTGGGCTGATAGAAATCAAAGCCTCTAGATAGTAAGTTATAGGTGCTATTATTATCAAGAAAGAACATTTCACAAATACATTTTTCAAACAATTCCAACCAAAACATTTCCTGCTGAGTGCCATGGGAGATGAAGCTGGGTCATGTAGGTTCAGACGGGGAGGTGAGAACTCTCACATTGCTACCGCTGTCACCAAAGATGCTGAGAGACCTAGAGAAAGCAGCCTGGGATGTCAGTCACCACTGCAAGGTTGTCTCCCAACAGCTTCCCCTCTACTCGGCTGGGTTCCAGGAAAGCCAACTGAACACACTAAGTGAAAAGCACTCAGATACGACACGGATGCTCTTGGTTCATATCCGTGAGTAACTCTTACCTTAAGATATCCTCCAGCAGAGACAAGCATTCTGCTGTCGGGAGAGAAGCACAGATCAGTCACCCAGCCTCCGTGGGTAGCAGTTCCTTCTTCTACTGAAAGCGGAGCACACAAATGAAGAAGCTGGCCATTTGAGACATTCCATATCTACATAAACATGATATATAATTTATTAATAGGGTAACCCTGAAGCTTTGCCAATTTCCAAGTATACATACACATCATCTGTGATATATCTGGAAATTTTAAAAACAAAAAGAATAGCATGCTGGATCAGAATGCTACCAATTTCCACTGAAGTAAGAGAGAAAAGCAGGCATGATGGCACACACCTCTAATGCTAGCTGCTAAGGAGACTGAAGTAGGAAGATTTTGAGTTCAAAGCCTGAGCAACATGATGAGACTCTGTATCCAAAAACTAACAAAATAAAGGGGGTGTTTATCACTGAAATTCTAGACATTGTGTGACTAAGACCAAAGCCAAGGAATCATGGCATTCCTGGAAGGCCTGGTAGACTCCCTAACCCTGCAAGTCCAAACCCTCCTGTTTCTCAGCATTATACCTACTCCTCTGTGAGTTTTAATGCCTCTCCTTAAAAGCAAGCAAACAGAAACAACAAATCTACCACCAGAAATGAAAATATTCTTCTCAAAATTACTGGTTACCAAGGCTGCAGAGATGGTTCAGCAATTAAAAGCACTGGCTGCTCTTCCAGAGGACCCAGGTTCAATTCCCAGAACCCACATGGCAGCTCATCTGTACCATCTGTAACTCCAGTGCCCAGGAATCAGACACCCTCTTTTGACCTCCTCAGTTACCAGGCATGCATGTGATACAGACACAGATGCAGACCAAACATGGTACACATAAGAAAATGAAAATTTAAAAAACAAAACAAAACTAGTTACCACAGCAGCTATCCCAGTGCCCAAGTTTTTCACTTTCTCTACAATTCTTCTAACACCACAAGTAATCTGGTTGCTTTTCAATGGTCTCTGATCCTTTACATGCAATACTTTTGACACTAGCCTTTATTTCCAGACACAAAAGAAGAGCATGCCATAACTCTCTGAAAACTGTTCTCTAGGTGAAGCTGGCATAGTTTACATGTGCACCTTCAGAAGTTCGGGGGGGATTAAAAACTGGCTGCTCGTTTGGACCCCCTGACAGAAATGTGAACCTTTAGTACATCTTCATTAACAAAGACAGACAGCCCAAAGGGGACTGTAACAAGCCCCAGAAAGACGCTGACTAATGAGCAGAGTTCTAAAAAGGTCTCTACTTTGAACAATGAGAAGAGCAGAATTTGCAATTCATTTATGAACCAATGGTTTACAAAACTAGTTTCTCCAAATTCTGCCACTAAAAGAACCTTTAGTTAATGTTAAAAATTAAGGTGAACGGTTCACAAACTAACAGCAGAGAACCAACTGCAAATATCTACTCACGTATGTAGAAAACGACAGTTATTTATTTTTTATTTTATTTGTTTATTTGTTTGTCTGTCTGTTTTTTGAGACAGGGTCTTACTATGCAGCCTTGGCTGGCCTGGAACTCATTTTATGTAGACCAGGCTAGCTTCAAATTGAGACGTACCTGTCTCTGTCTTCTGAGTGTTGAGATTAAAGGTGTGCACCTTTAATGCTACCTGACTAACTCTGAAATTCATTCTTCCTCCTGTGACGGTGACTATGAATATAGCGTGCACACAAAACAGAGCAAAGAATGCTCCATCCAACCAAAACCCTAGGACCTCTGCATTCCTGTCCCATTAAAAGAGGTCTCCAGTGTTAATCACAGGACTTAGGCTAAAACAGGAAGACCTGGAGTCAGGCCAGGCAAGGCTGAATAGGGAGTTCTGGTCAGCCTCTGAAAAAACTATCAAACAAGCAACCTCAGTGTGGGGAAGAATGGCAGCCCAAGCTAAAGGAGAAACTATCTCAGTCGGCCCAGCCTACCCTGATTTCTCCATTGTCGTCTCCGGTTGCCAACAGGATGCCATCCAGAGAGAAGGCAGAGCAGCGGACACAGCCAGTATGACCCTTCAACTCATGAAGTGGGGAAAGCAGTTCAAAACTCCAGATCTGGAAGGCAATGAGGATTGTTTAGGAGTGGTAAATACACTCTTCAAACATCTATAAGGCCTGCCCTAAGCACGACACAGACAAAAAGTCAATCCCATGCAAGTTCAAACATTTGGTGGTGGCTATACTTTCACAAGATGCCCAGCTCCAACCGCAACCTTGTCAAGTTTTGGGACTTCCCTCTAATCAATTACTCAAGAACCAGAGTCGGCTTTCTTGTCTTTGTATTAATGCTCTCACAAAGAACAGAGAATTAGTTAAGAACAGTTGACAGGGTGGGGCAGACAGTCCACTCTACTAAATCCTTGCGACCTATGATAGCTTCAGTTTCTGTGCTTGTAAAATGGGGACAATGATTCCTACGGTGTGACGATTAGATGGGATTGCATAGGACATAACAGATAGTCAAGGCTCTTAAAAGATTGTCATCATACTGCCCAACAAATGCTGTCTTTTTTATTTTGAGACAGGGGCCCAAGCTGGCCTTGAACTCACAGAGATCTCCTGCCCCTAAAGCTGTGTATCACCGGACCCATTTTGCTTCCTTTTCCTTCCATTATTCTCTCTGTGGTTCTGTTACTACCATTTCGCCAGGACGCACTAAAAATTACCATGTTCCAGGCACGGCCAACCAAGAATTTATGGTATGAGATGAAGTAGACATAGTCCCTTTCCTTGAAGTTCACGGTTTCACCAAGAAAGCAGGCTCAGGAATACTTCGTGAACTGCTGAAATGCTCCCAAAAAAACACAAATAAAACAGAAGGAAAACTCCAAAGGTAGAGCAGCTAATGTTCCTTGAGAGTCAGACAAAGCTTCACTGAAGAGCCAACAAGAAATGCAAATCTAAAGTGACATGTCACAACTTGCACACCAAGATGGAGGTGGGGGTAGGCAGAAAGAGGAAATGGCCGAAAAGAAAGGAAGTAATGGGTCTAAGAGCTTGCCTGTAAAACGTCACATGAAAGGTGCTATCACAAGACCTTAAGTGGTAGAGAAAGAATTACGTGAAGGAATCGCCCAAGAAGCTGCCCACCAGTCAACAGGGAAGAAAGCATGGTCTTGTGGAAACAAGGAAAAGTGGGTGGAACTAAAACACTGAGCAACTGAGCAATGAACAAAGACAGCCAGACAGTGATGTCACAACAAAGATGAGGAAAATAAAGAAATGGAGCCGGGCGGTGGTGGCGCACGCCTTTAATCCCAGCACTCGGGAGGCAGAGCCAGGCGGATCTCTGTGAGTTCGAGGCCAGCCTGGTCTCCAAAGCGAGTTCCAGGAAAGGCGCAAAGCTACACAGAGAAACCCTGTCTCGGAAAAAAAAAAAAAAAAGAAAGAAAGAAAGAAAGACAGAGAATGGAGGGCTGAGTCCCCAAGCTAGAAGTGTAATTCAGAGAATTTCAAAAGTATCCATTTACACTAAGTGAATAAAAATTGTGTGTACTTACACCCCTTTCAATTACTTTTACTGAACATAATATACAGCAGAGATTCTATTTGATTAGTTATAAATAAAAAGTATTTTTTTCTTTCTTAATACTTTAAGAATTAAGAATCTTTTTCTTAATCTTAATTCTCCATAAAGGAGAATTAGAATGATTAAATGTTATTCATTTAATCTATCCCATGCCAAATGAGTGCTAACGGGAATCCTCCAAGAGCTTGTGGCCTAGGACAGCTCACACGACCCTCTAGCTTTAGTTTCTATACGTGCAGAACTGGGACAATGACACCTATCATGTGATGATCAAGTGAGACTGCACCACATGTCCTAAAATATGAGACAGGCCCAGGGAGATGATGCGGCCAGTGCACCGGCCTCACAAGCCCAACAACCCAACCTGGAGTAAAAAGCTGGATGCAGTGGCCTGCATCTGTGCGTCCAGCATCCTCAGGCAGGGTGGAGGTGGAAACAGGAAAATCGCCTGGAAGTTGCTGGCTCTGGAGTGCACAGCACAGCAAAAGCAGCAGAAACAATGAGAGACCCTGCTTCAGCAAGGTGGAAGGAAAGGACCCACTTCTCCTACACACATACACTGTGACTCATGCAGGCTCCTTCTCTCTCCCTGTATCTGTCACATACACACACAAAATAGTAAATAAAGTCTTAAAAAATACAGATGGGGGCTGGAGAGATGTCTCAGTGGTTAAGAGCATTGGCTTCCAGAGGACCTGAGTTCAATTCCCAGCACCCACATGGTGGCTCACAACCATAGTGAGATCTGGCGCCCTCTCCTGGCCTGCAGGCATACATGCAGACAGAACACTATACATAATAAATAAATAAATCTTAAAAAAAATACAGATGATATAGGTATGTAAACAATCCGTCACTCTCCTGCCTTACATTGTTTACACTCATAACACACAATCAATACTGCATGTTTTATATGTGAACACTTAAGTGACTGACTGACCTTTGCAGTCTTATCAGCAGAGGTAGATGAAAACTTGGTAGCATCCGAAGAAATATCACAAGAAAGTACTGTACCCTGATGGCAAATAAAGTCTTTTTCTATTCTTCCAGTAATGATATTCCATACCTTAAGGGAGGAAAAAAAGATTAGGTGACGCAAAGATTAGGTGATGCTTCTAAGGACATTTTTGTCATGCATGATGGAATACAACTGTGCCCCCAAGGTAAGGGGGAGCAGAAGCAGGAGGACTACAAGTTCAAGGCCAACAAAGGATGGGGGTGGAGCTCAGTGGTAATGTTCACTTAGCATGTACAAAGCCTCACGATTGATTCCTAGAATCACAAAACAAGGAGAGGGAGGGGAAGGGCAGATGGACACCTTGAGATGTGAGGGGATGGTGAGAGGGGACTGGAAAGACTGCTCTGCAGTTAAGAACACCGGCTGCTTTCCCAGAGGATCTGGGTTTGATTTCCAGCACCCACAAGGTGACTCACAACCATCTGATTCCAGTTCAGGAAATCCACTGCTTTCAGCTCCTGTGGGTACTGCATGCATTCGGTGCACAGACATACATGCAAGCAAAACGCTCATACATATAAAAATAAATACATCTTTTTTAAAAAGAACACCATCGCTACAAATCACATCCACAAAGCAGGCTTTAGAGCAGTAACTGTCCCGCTCTCTCAGGTGTCCTTCAGTATGAATGCTTATAAACACACGACAGGTGTAAGTGACCGCAGTGTACAGGAAACAGGTGAAGTGCTGACACTTCCGTCACTTACTTTACATTCATGTGCTTTAAAGCTGCCACAACATAATTACTGCAACATCAGAATGTGTTCTTTAAAAGAACAATCTGGGGCTGGGTATGGTGGTGCACAAGCCTTTAGTCGCAGACACTCAGGAGGCAGGTGGATCTCTGTGAGTTCAAGGCCAGCCTGGTCTATATATCAAGTTTCAGATCAACCAGGGCTACATAGTGAGATCCAATTTCAAAATACATACATACATACATACAGGTATGTATAAATTCTTTTGAAATCTAGTACTCAGTTCTGGAAAGATGGCCTAGTAGTAAAGATCCCTAACTGCTCTTCAAGAGGACCCGGGTTCAAATGTCAGCACCCAATTCACAGGCATCTGAATTTAACTCCAGTTCTAGAGGATCTGATGCTCTTTTCTAGCTTCTGAGAACATCAACCACAAATGTGGTGCACAGACATACATACAAGCCAGACACCCATACACACAGTAAAATAAAATAAAATAATTTAAAAAACAAAAAAAATACATTTAAAAAATCTGGGATTCAAATTACCTTCACTGTTCCATCAAAGGACCAAGAAAGCAATCTTGAATTTTTCAGGAGCCTGAAGTCCTTCACTGTTTCCTGATGAGCTTGCAAAAAGATATAGTCCTCTGACTGCCAATTCCATACCTGAATACCAAAGAAATAAGTCTGTCATAAACCTCCCCCAATAATGTCCCTCGGGAAAGAGGTATGCATTCTCTCATCGAAAGTCTTTTTATCTTCACAGTATTTCAAACAGAGAAGTACCAAAAAACACTGATCTGTGTTTTACAGAGAGAAAAAGTTGAAGCTAATTAGCTTGATGGGGGGACAAAACAAAACACTTTTTCTCCTAAATAACATTTGTTTTCTTCAGTTGCTTAGAGAGTAGTTAATTAAACCACAAGATAGAAAAAACCCACAATATGTCAGTGAGCTCACCCTCTGATTAAATTTTCCAGAGACAATTATCCCAATTACATATCTGCAGATTCCCAGTCTGCACATGGGGTGAGTCTGCAGACCCCGGCTCCAGTGAAGCTCGCCCTACTGCCCAGAAGGTCCAGTGAGCCAGGGAAGTGAAAACATGGTCATAGAGTTACCAAGCTTCAAAGTCTTAGACAGCCCCTAATGCGACTCTCAAATAAAAGCAGCAGCGGTAGGCACTATTATTTCACATGCAGCTTAGGCAAGAGGCTCTTAGCCATGAGAAACAAGGAAGACTTGAAGCAGTGCCAGCAACTGGAACAAAACAAGCAAACAGGAACATCTGAGGCACAGCAGTGAACAGAAACCTCTATGTCGTGTCAATATGTAGAACGTCCATTACTAAATCAAAGCAGCAGTGTTTAGTGGCTTTTAAATTCTGGACTTCACTTAATTTAACAAACATGTTTCCAAGTAAGGCAAATGTGAATCAAACAAGGACCTACCATGAACAAATTTACGAAATAAGACGCAAAAAGGGAAAAAAAAAACTTACATAAAGATTTTACTACTGAAGTAAAAGTATTGTGAAATTCAAAACAATGACTCCTTCAAAACGGTCTGGCAGAGGCCAGCACTCAAACATGTGAGAGGAGAAGGAGCTGGAAAGAAAGCTCGGCAGAAGAGCACTGGCTGCTCTTGCAGGGGACTTAGATTCCATTCCCTGCACACACACACAGTGGCTCCCAACCACCCGAAACTCCAGTTCCCAGAGATGCAACACCCTCTTCTGACTTCCAAGGGCACCAGGCACACACACATCACACATCCATAAATGCAGACAAACACTCATAAAATAAATAACCCTTTTTAAAAGTTTAAAGAGGGGTGGCTGGAGAGATGGCTCAGTGATTAACAGCACTGATTGCTCTTTTAGAGGACCCGGGTTCAATTCCCAGCACACACATGGCAGCTCACAACTGTCTGTAACTCCTATTCTAGGGGATCCGATACCCTCACACAGATATACATGCAGGCAAAACACCAGTGCACATAAAATAAAACTAAATTGTTTAAAAAAAAAAGGAAGAGAGAGAAAGAAAAAGATAGAAAGATAGATTCACAAACTGAAAACTTTTCAAATGCAGTGAATGAATTTAGAAAAAAAAAGGTTGGAAAAGTATTGAAAGACCCACAGAATCAACTAAGCAAGGCTCATAGCGGCTAACAGAGACTGAGGTGGCATTCCCAGAGCCTGCGCAGGTCTGCACTAGATGCTCTGCATACACGCTGTGGCTGTTTGGCTTGGGGTTTTTGTGGACTCCTAACCGTGGGAGAGGAGGTGCTCAGGACCCTTTTCTTCCTACTGGGTTTCCTCACCCAGCCTTGATATAAGGGTTTGCGCCTAGTCTTACTTAGTTCATCTTGTTATGCCGTGTTCCGTTGCGATCGCTGGGAGGCCTGCTCTTTTATGAAGGGAAGTGGAGGAGGAGGAATGGATCTGGGGAGAGGGGAGGTGGGGGATGGAGGGAGGGAGGCTGTGGTCAGGATGTGTTGTACGAGAGAAGAAAAAAGAAGAAAAAGAAGGACTGAAAGCAAGTCAAAGTCCAGTGACCACAGGCGAGCAGACGGCTTGCAGAGAGCAGAAGCCTCCGAGGGGCAGCACCACCACAGCCACGTGCACCATTAACACCACCACAGCCACGAGCACCATCAGCACCACCACAGCCACGAGCACCATCAGCACCACCACAGCCACGAGCACCATCAGCACCACCACAGCCACGAGCACCATCAGCACCACCACAGCCACGTGCACCATCAGCACCACCACAGCCACGTGCACCATCAACACCACCACAGCCACGAGCACCATCAGCACCACCACAGCCACGAGCACCATCAGCACCACCACAGCCACGAGCACCATCAGCACCACCACAGCCACGTGCACCATCAGCACCACCACAGCCACGAGCACCATCAGCACCACCACAGCCACGTGCACCATCAGCAGCACCACCACAGCCACGTGCACCATTAACACCACCACAGCCACGTGCACCATCAGCACCACCACAGCCACGTGCACCATCATCAGCACCACCACAGCCACGTGCACCATCAGCACCACCACAGCCACGTGCACCATTAACACCACCACAGCCATGAGCACCATCAGCACCACCACAGCCACGTGCACCATCAGCAGCACCACAGCCACGTGCACCATTAACACCACCACAGCCATGAGCACCATCAGCACCACCACAGCCACGTGCACCATCATCAGCACCACCACAGCCACGTGCACCATCAGCACCACCACAGCCACGTGCACCATTAACACCACCACAGCCACGTGCACCATCAACACCACCACAGCCACGTGCACCATCAGCAGCACCACCACAACCACGTGCACCATCAACACCACCACAGCCATGAGCACCATCAGCACCACCACAGCCACGTGCACCATCAGCACCACCACAGCCACGTGCACCATCAGCACCACCACAGCCACGTGCACCATTAACACCACCACAGCCACGTGCACCATCAGCACCACCACAGCCACGTGCACCATTAACACCACCACAGCCACGTGCACCATCATCAGCACCACCACAGCCACGTGCACCATCATCAGCACCACCACAGCCACGTGCACCATCAGCACCACCACAGCCACGTGCACCATTAACACCACCACAGCCACGTGCACCATCAGCACCACCACAGCCACGTGCACCATTAACACCACCACAGCCACGTGCACCATCAGCACCACCACAGCCACGTGCACCATCATCAGCACCACCACAGCCACGTGCACCATTAACACCACCACAGCCACGTGCACCATCAGCACCACCACAGCCACGTGCACCATTAACACCACCACAGCCACGTGCACCATCAGCACCACCACAGCCACGTGCACCATCAGCACCACCACAGCCATGGGCACCATTAACACCACCACAGCCACGAGCACCATCATCAGCACCACAGCCACGTGCACCATTAACACCACCACAGCCACGAGCACCATCAGCACCACCACAGCCACGAGCACCATCATCAGCATCACAGCCACGTGCACCATCAGCACCACCACAGCCATGTGCACCATCATCAGCACCACAGCCACGTGCACCATCATCACCACCACAGCCATGTGCACCATCATCAGCACCACAGCCACGAGCACCATCAGCACCACAGCCATGTGCACCATCAACATTCTGGCTCTGGTCTGCGCGCATGGCAAACAGTGCAGAGATAACTTCAAGCCCTCTCCTAGCCGGCTAGGCAAAACTATAAAACCCATGCTGAATCCTACTTCCCTTCCTTTGGTCTCTGCCACACACAGCAGCCATCTTCCCCACCGGGCCTTGGCTCTTGGATCTATCTCTTCCTGTCTTCCAGCTGGGGACATTCAAATATCGGGGTCACCAGGATTAGGAGCTGCTGTGTGCCAGCGAGTCACTGCAGAAGAGGTACTAGAAGTGACAGTGTTCTAAAGGAGCATGGGTGGGTCAGAAATTTCAGCATTCTAAGAACTCAATGATACATGCTGGGGACTGTGGTAAGGTGCAGTGACATGGACTTTTCTGGCTCCCCAAATCATACCAAGAGGTCATGGCACCCTGTATGACGAGGCATACCCCTAAGCCATTTCCACTAGGAATGTCCTGGCTCCCTCCTTTCTTTCTGGGTTGAGCAGACTTGAGGGTCAATGGCTGCTCATCTCACTCTTCCCGTCTTAACAGTCTAGGCTGTGCCTAACTCAAAGTGCATCCTGACTAGGTTCTTCCTGCTGCTCTCTACTCAGGAAACCAGAGAGCTTTCCTGAGCATGCGCGACAAAGAGCCCCGAAAGGAGATTAGCAGCTGTCTCAAAGACACTTTCTGACAAGGCAACAACGTGGTGCTTTTCACTGGACTCACACATGCTGTGTTAGGTGACTCACCTTGGTATAACAGACAAGGTTCCACTAGCATTGTTCAACTGCACTGAAGTTGAACTTCGGGACGTCTACCATTATCAATAACTTTTGTGAGTATACACACTATAGAACTTTTTCAACTACTGAAATAAATTTCAATTAAAAAAAAAAGCTGGCTGGGCATGCCTATAAACGGAGCACTGGGGAAGGTCGAGGAAGAAGAACCACAGGTCTGAAGCCAACCCGGGCTATACATCAAGACCCCAACAGAAAGACACAAAAACAGTAGTAAGTAAATAAATACTAGATTTCTTATACCTGTAAGAACCAACATGTTTTTATGGATCAGGTAGGCATAGTTAATACATGCACTTCATTTACCTCAAGGTAAAGAGTCAAAAGCTACCAAAACAGGACTCAGTTCCCACAATGTTCAGTGCCAGCATCAGGTGGGATTATTCTTCCAATTCTAGCAATGACTTAAACTTGACAGAGATTCCCTAAACCTGTCTCAGGCTGGGGATACAAAACTCCATTCAGTCATTTACTAAAACAAAGCCAGGTATGGCAGCACACACCGTATTCCTAGAACTTGGGCTCTGGCAGAAGGATCAAGAGTTCAAAGCCAGCCTTGGTTACATAGTGAGTTCAAGACCAACCTGAACTACATGACATGCAGACTTAAAAGATCACGACACAAAAAAAACAAACAAAGCCCTCAATCCAACATTTCTTAGAAATACCTACAAAGCGTTTCATTATAGGAACCATAACAACCCTGTAAATGCTTGCTTTGGCGGCACACATACTAAATCAGAACTACATAGAGAAGATTAGCATGGACCCTGTGCAAAAATGACATACAAATTCATGAAGCAGTCCACTTTTTTGTTGTTGTTGTTTAAGTAAAGGTCTATGTATTCCCAGCTATCTTGGAACTCACCTTGTAGACCAGGCTGGCCTTGAACTTACAGAGATCCCCCTGTCTCTGCTTGCCAAATGCTTGGATTAATGGTGTGCAGCACCACATCCAGCAGTAGCCCATGTTTTTTAAGGCTCACAGTCTGAGTTGCATCCCTGGAATCCACATGATAGAAGAGAACCATTTCCTGCACACTGTACTCTGACCTCCACATGATAGAAGAGAACCATTTACTGCACATTGTACTCTGACCTCCACATGAGCTCACATGACTCCATGGTATGCATGAGTGTGAGCACCCACATAAAATAGACATCTTTTAAAAGCCCTGTATATGTAAAAACCATTCTGAGTAGTCCAGAAAAAGATGAAATACAACTTGTATTTCTAAAAATAACTCTTATTCTAAAAATTCTTTCTCCCTCTGGCTGAGAATATCTACAAACAGGTCATAAAATCTTATGAATTTAAGTTCACACCGCATACAATGTCCCAACAGGATTTATCTGATGTAGTTAAGTTTCCCTCATTTCAAAGACATCTGGAGAGGAAGAAATATGACTATTATATGAGTTTCACAGCTAATAAAGAAGCATCATGGGAGCTTATAATAAAGTTTCTGTATTGAAGCCAAATTTCATTCCAATCCTATATCTTCACAAAGACAGAACATAGCAAGATTGGTTTTTAAAAAAATAGTTTTTAATGGCATAGTTAAATGTTGCCAGCACAAGAAATATGTACTAAGTAAAGCCAGGAGTATGACCCAAAAGTAGAACTAGCTAGGATGGGGCGTGGTGGAGCACACCTTTACCCCAGTGCTCAAGAGGCAGAGGCAGGTGGGTCTTTCTGAGGTCAAAGCCCACCTCGGCTACATAACAAGACTGAAGTGATTTCAAAATTCTGAGGCCACAGAGAAGACTTTGAAATCTTCTAGAAAGATTTAAAACCTAGAATGATGGTGCACGCCTTTAATCCCAGCACTGGGAGACAGGGGCAGGTGGATTCTGTGACTTCAAGGCCAGCCTGGTCTACAGAGCAAGTCATAGGCCCGACAGAGCTACATAGTGAGATCCTGTCTCAATGACAAACAAAAAAATCAGAATGGCTTTAGATTTCTCAATATAAATTTTGGAACTTAGGAGAAAAAAAATGAAGCAATATCTTTAAAGTTTTAAGGTGAGATAATTTCCAGCCACACGTAATCAAAGACTACCTTTTTCTAAACTCTATTATGATAGGAACTGCAACCATGAGGTGTGGTGGGGCACACCTGTAATCCCAGCACATAGGGAGTTCCAGGACACCCTGGCTCCATAGTAAGAGCCTAGACGATTCAACATCCAGAAGGGTTTGAAGGCAACTGGCTCAGACAATACAGCCTCATGGACTATTCCATAATCCTAAAATTTTCTTTGTGTCCCCATAAGATTCAGCGCCCCCCTCCAGGAGGAAGTAGTAAGAGAAGCTACGCCCAAATTCCCAAATTATATGTAATTTTACTTTGTTAAGGTTAAAAACCTTCCTTTTGGAAAAAAAAAAGAAAAGGGGAAGTGCTGTGGGATGGTCTGTATGTCAAGCGTGTTGCTGTTTGGTCAATAAATAAATCACTGATTGGCCAGTGGCTAGGCAGGAAGTATAGGCGGGACAAGGAGGAGAATAAAGCTGGGAAGTAGAAGGCTGAGTCAGAGACACTGCCAGCCGCCATGATGAGAAACAGCATGTGAAGATGCCAGTAAGCCACGAGCCACATGGCAAGGTATAGATTTATAGAAATGGATTAATTTAAGCTGTAAGAACAGTTAGCAAGAAGCCTGCCACAGCCATACAGTTTGTAAGCAAAAAAAAAAAAAAAAAAAGCCTATACTAAGGAAAACAAAGACAGGCATTGCACTCATAACACCCTTTAGTACAGTCTGCTCAGTCACAGCTCAGAACTGCAGGGATGGCGGGTCTGATAAACGGCTCGGGGTACATGCACACATGCACATGTGCTGGAGACAGGAGTGGGGAGAACAAATGCTAAGTCCTCACTATTAGGAAGTCAGCAATTCCCCAAGTGGAAAATTAGAAACAGCACTACAAGCATGCCATATGGAGGCATGAAGGTAAACATCAAAGACAAGATCTGAAAGATCTAAAAATACCTAATATCTAAAAGCCACCGGTGATAGTTCTGAAGAGTAAGAAATGGGGGAGGTCTAACTGCCCCAGCAAGCCTTGTACTGCCACAGTACTTTTGAAGTATGTGTACTAGAACTTAATAAAAGTGAATTTTTTTTTTGGCAAAAGTTTATCACCACAATAAATATGATTCTTAATAAGATCATGTAAATTGGAGCTGGGCATGGTGGTACATGTCTGCAACCCCAGCACCCACATGGCAGAGGCAGGAGGATTGCCGAAAGTTCAAAGACAGTCTGGTCTGCACAAAGCAAGTTCTAGGCCGTTTTGGTCTCCATAGCAAGGCCTTGTCTCAGGAAAAGAAGAACAAAGAACAAAGCATTTGGTCAGAATTCAGTCATGAGAATAAATTACATAAAAGTGGCAAAAATGTATTTACACATGTAAATATGAATATCAAGACAGGAAGAATTCCAATGAATACTTAACGCAAAAGAAACAACCTTCTCAGTGAACTGCCACCATGCCACACCCACAAAAAAAATGAAACAGGAATGGACTCTCTAAACCCTATGTGTACAGTGGGAATGCACACCCAAAATAGTAGGTTTAAGTGAGCAAGCTTTAGCACAGTGCTCTTCCGATACGGAAGTGTTCTTTCTTCCTCCCTCTAACGGTACAGATGCTAGTTCACTCATCCTCTCACCTGAATCACAGAATCCTCAGAACTTGAAATCAGGGTCTTCCCATCAGCTGTGAACTGGATGTGCCGCACAGCTTTCTTGTGCCCAGTCCTAGAACTGAAAACTCTGTTGTTTGGAAGTTCTATAACCTTCAAAACAGAAAAACCACCGAAAATTAACACAAAGAACTTAAGCACTATTCAGGCACTATACACCCACAATGCATACATGTATATGCCATGCACACATGTCCCGCACCCCGGTCACCCCATACAACCAAGCGTGCACCAGAACGGCCGAACGGTGCTAGGAACCAATGGTTCTTCTGAGTGCTCAACTACCTGAGTCATCAACCAAGGGACAATCCCGGCTCAGCCTCCAAAATAAAATGGTAATTTACGACAATGAGAAAGAAGAAAGGATAAAAACCCTGGATAAACCAAGGCAAGCTCTTCATCAAGGAAGAAAAAATGAGGGGAGAGAAAGGACGCCAAGGGAGAAGGGGCGATGGGGAGACTGGAGGGCAGCACGCCGATAACAAGCCTTTGAAAGGCCAAACACAGAGATGTAGAGAGTGGTAACAGGGCTGTGGGAGGGGTCCGTGGACAAAGCGCTCGCTGCATAAGCGAGAAAGAACCTGAGTTTGACCCCAGGACCACAGGCTGGAAGGAGAGAAGTGACGCCCCGACAGAGCTAGCCTCTGACCTCCACACCATACTGTGGCCTGTAAACACACATGTACAAAAGTGTTTACGTTGTAACACAAACTCAAAACATGGCGACTATATCAAAAGTGCTTTCAAGTGAACTCATATGGATGTATTGCATGTGTGTGTATTTTTATTTGCCCAAGTTAAAATGATCTATTAGATGATGCTGTAACACAAGATTCTAGAAATCTAACCCATACATTGCAGGGGAAATGAGCCCTCAAAAAAGCAAAGAGGAATTGTGTGACTGGGGCCTTCTCAAGGGAGAGGGACAGGCAGACAGTGTTCCTACAAGGAAGCAGGGTCACAATGACTGCTGAGCAATTCCTTCAGAAACTTACACCGGAATACAAGGCTCTGCCACTCATGAAAGCTGTGGAAATTAGGAGATGAGACATCTGTAAAACAAGAGCCACAGCATCTAATATCCAGGATGATGGATGTCTGGGAACATCTGGAACAGTAAACAGTAGCTGCTAGGCAGGACCATTTGAAACTGCCATTTTAAACATTAAAAATCAATCAAAATAGCCAGATGTTGGCATTCTTACACGGTTCATAATTTATATTATGTGAGGATTGTGAGGAAGAAGGTAGAAAAAAGATATATGGATTTTTTAAAACTTTTTAAAGGTTTGCTTTTATTTTACAAGTATGAGCATTTGCCTGAATGCATGTAAGTGTACCACATGTACGCCTGATGCCTGTGGAGGTCAGAAAACAGCCTTACATGCCCTGGGGATGGAGCTACAGACAGTTGTTAGTCATCATGTGGGTACTGGGAATCAACCCAAGTCCTCTGAAAGAGCAGTAAGTGTCTTAACCTCGGGACCATCTCTCCAGCCCCAAAGCACACACGTCTTATGAGGTGTTTTTTCTTCTTCTTTTTTTAACTACCTGAAAGGCAGTTTCAATGTGCTAAAATGGTAAAAAGCAGAAAGAGTAAGATGCTGAGTTGGCAACACAGTAAAAAGGAAACCATGGTCCCATTCAAAATAAATACTACACAGCAGTACAAAAACGGGGGCTGGGAGAAATAAGGAAACCTGTAGTTTTCCAATAGTCCTGTCTTTACAAACAATTGTCAGACACCTGCTGTAATCTTAACTGAATGCACAGCACTGTGGCTGCCAAGGGAGACCTGGCAGTCTGACATCACCTCCTCTTCACTGTGTGTACAAGCTTTAGTCTCCTCTTGTGGGATAGCTGGACCCGAAGAACATTTGTGTAATCCCTTATGAAAAGGAACCCATGGTAAAATAAATGTGGCTAATGTCACAGTCTTACTAAACTAGGAATCAATCCCCAGAAGCCTGGGTGAGGAAAAATGACAAGAACCAATGGTCTCTAAAAGTTATGCACCTAGATAACAAGCGATGAGCTTTGCGCGGGATAAAGGTCAGAATATTTTTATACAAAATGATTTTCATTATAATACCTTTCCTGGGTCAGCCCCTGATTCTTTTTATTTATTTTGTCTTGCTGAGTAAGTTCAGGATTTCAGGTGGTGGACAGGTATACACCTAACATCAAATGTAGAAATGTAGACAGGACAGTGGACACAGAGGGCCCTGTGCTGACCTTCTCAAGAACCTGGAAATGACATCACATGGCTATTTCTAAGAGGGGGAAATGCTTTTGTATAATTGGTTAAACCTGTTTAGTTTTTTAAAATATGAATAAAATAGTAAAACAACTAGACAGAAAATAAGAAACACAGAAAGCTCGAGAAACAGAGGCAAAGGTCACGTGAGGAGAACACTAACCAGGTTAAGATGCACAGTCTATGGAATAATGACCACTAGATGACAGAAAGATCTGTCTGGTACATGGGTGTGCAATGCCCAGCAGATGATTACACATAACTCTAGTCACAGCTCTGAAGACTAGAACTGAGTACCTTAATGGCTCCATCTTCATCTCCAAACGCAACATACTCAAGATGGGGGCTTAGGCAGCAGCAACTCACTTGAGCTTCCGGCAGGTAATCAATCTGGCCCGTTTTTCCAGCAATGAGCTAATGGAAAAAAAGGCACAGTCAGTCATTAGCTGGGGTGTGCATCTTTCTGTTGCTATTCTTCAGAAGACAGACTTCAACTGAAAAATAAAAGCAAGCATGGAAAATAACCAAGAGTTCTCAGGGAAAAAAACAAAGACTGACTCCTAACTCAGGAGCTGTATTTAGCATCTGATGCTTTCATTTTATTCCTCTTATGGGGCTCAAATACATTTTCATAAAATAAAACAAGCTTTAAAAGGGTTTGAAAAGCAGCTGCTGTGCCCACCACCTGAGACACATCTGTGTGATAGGCAGTCTCACAGCTAGCCCCGTATTCTGTCTTTTATTTCTCCACAAAGCCTGTTTTTAATAGGGTTATCATTTGTTATAATACACTTTTCTGAAATCTTCAAAGGGGCCGTGAAACAGGATTGAGACAGACATTACACACAATGGTAAGTCCAAATTGAAACTTATATACTCCGAGTCACTCACAAATCAGGATAAATTAAGATTCTTTCTTTCTTAGGAGTGGGGAGATAGATCTTACAGAAGAAACTTGAAAGCACAATTCATGTCACTGGACTTGCAATATTTAAACTAAGATTATCCAATTTTATAACCTCTACCTAATGTTAATTTGAAGTGCCTTAGCACCTCAATTAAAAGACCAGACCTCAGGAAATACTTCTCAAGCTTAAATCAATTACAGATACCTTTCTAACTTAGTGTTATGATCTAAAAATCTGAATTATTTCTCAGCATGGCACATGCAATAAAACTGTTTCAGCTATACTGATTATAAGGTTAATTAGTAATATGTAGCTTTTTCTTTATAACAGTTTGCCCAAAACTCTCTGATTTATTAGATATTTAAAATCAAGATAAACTACTGCAGGCTGCTGGGGAAGAGAGTCGTCGATGCTCCCCGCAGCTGCGGCCACTCAGTACACAACACAGACCTGCTAGCGCTGTGCAACAGTGGTATGACCGCTACCGGGACAACCAACCTCTCTCCCTTGATCTGCGGCTTGCTCCGTAAAGGGAATTCATGCCTGGCACTGTAAACCTGGGATCAAAAGCCCGCGGCTGAGGAGGTCACAGGCCCTAAGCTGGGAACCTACCACTGCCATTTTGCTCAACAGATGTGTTGTCAAACTGCTTTCTGAACAGAATAAATGTCTATTTTTATACCCACAAACTAATTCATGCTGCGTTCAGCCTTGGTCAAAGAGTCTTTTTTTGCAATGGGAAGCAGTTAATGCAGAGACCCATAACTAGTAACAGTGCTGAGAATTCAGTGACCAGAGAGTATTAGCCTAAATAGGACATCTATATCACCCCCTCCAAGGCTCTAAGAACATCATGGAAGAAGGGACTAAAAGAATGTAAGAACCAGGTAATGAAGAAGTGTGTTGTAAAACGCTGTCTCCTAGGTATGACACGACCATTGCATGTACAAAATTACAGTAACTATGGTTACCTCCATAATATCTACATGAGATTAGGTCCCTTAACAAATCCATTATTAATGGGCGAGGGGCTTGGGAGATACTATCCCTCCATGAGGGGTGACAGTTACCAGGGAGAGGAAGTCATCTCCTTCAGCAGCGTCATCACTGATTAACTGCCACGCTCCAGTAACAACCCCCAATCCTGTTCACACACACACACACGCTCAAACACACACTCAAACACACACGCGCGCGCACGTGCGCACACACATAAGTAGGTGAGCAACTTGGAGAAAGGGGGTTCAGTGGGAGTGGGAAGGAGATAAGAGAGGGTAATGGGTATACATGATCAAAATGCACTATACACATGTATAAAACTGTCAATATTTTCTTAAAAGACTGAAATGAAAACTAAGTATCTTCCTCCACAAAAAGCAAGTTTAAAACTTCTTTTAATTCACAATTTAAAAATTCTGCAATTACTTTAATGGAACTACTATTTGTCAGTTAAACTGTCCTGTAACCTCTTGCAGACCATGACATACAGTGAGATACCATTTTTAGTCAGGCAACCTCATCATCCTTTGGTTATGACAACTGTTACTGAATGGCTGCATAGATTTGATTTTAAAAAAATACAAGCCTGGGAACAATGAACTTGGAAAGAACTACAATAGAAATATCCCAAGCCAAAGCCTCAGTCGATTAAAAAACCAGTAAGCAAGGAATTCACATGCAAGTTCCTATCCACATTCATCCCATAAATACAGAACACTGATCATCATATTTCGAAGTTGGTATGTGAACTTATAAAATACAAATCAAGACGAATTTAAAGATGCTTTATAACTTGGCTCTAAAACCCAAACAGCTGAAGACAAGTTCCCACGTGCCATGAACAACGGACTCCCAGATAGGGATCTTGAACTTAGACTCTGCCTTGACCTCTAACCAGCTCACCGACTGCTGAAGAGGAAAGGGCTTTAAAGGTGACAAGTCTAGTTACCATCACAGAGCCAGCTGGGACTAGTCTGGTCCTGCACGGGGTCTCCTCTGCCACACCAGCCCGAGCACTCAGGTTTTAACACTCCAAGCCGCCCCGCGTCTGCTGGTCTCTCCCCAGCTGCTCAGTGTTTGTCCTCTCCTGCTCTACCTTACTGTCTTGTCCCATCCTGTCACAAGTGCCCTTGTTCCCTGTGTTCAGTAAAAATAAATGTTCAAGAAAAATAAAATCCAGAGCTGCAGAGACGGCTCGGTGGTTAAGAAGAGCTATTACAGAGGACGGGGTTCAGTTCCCAGCACCCACATGGTAACTCAAATGGTCTGTAACTCCAGCTCCAGGAGATACAGTTCTGGCCTCTGTGGGCACTGCACACACATGGAATACATACATATACTCAGGCAAACACTTGAATATATAAAATAAAAATAGACAAATTTTTTAAAAGAAAAGGAAAATCCAACAGATCAGATCATCAGTGCTAAGCCCTTTCCTAGAGACTCACAAGGTATTTCAAAGGCTGGAGGTATGGTTCAGTGTTAGAGCACTTGCCTCACAAGCACAGGCCCTAGGTCTGACCCCCAGTGCCACACGGGGAAAAATGAGATCAATAGAGACGGTGTTTCTGATCTAAGAGTTAATGATAGGCCTAAGGTATATAAGAAATCATTTCGAGGATGGTTAATCCTCAACGACGATAGGGTTTCTGTCTTCTCTCTCCAAGCCTCTCTCTCAAGAGAATCTCAGGGCAAGAGGTGATGACTTGCTAGTTTATTTAAGATCCACACTGATGCCAGCGCCGTATCTTCTCTGGCTGCTGCCCTTAGCACCTCCCTTCACCACAATTCACTGTCACTCCGCTGTTCACAATGGCGTCTCCTATGAAGGTCTACCATCCAGTGCTCTGTATTAGCCATCCTGAAGACAATCTCCTGTGTGAAGTGAGCGTTCTTCCTGTTACAACACCTGCAATGCCACCCCCACTTCCAGGACGTCTCTATCCAGCTGGGGCCAACTGCACTGGACTTCTATTCAGAGGCCACTCTACTCAGTGGCGCTGACCTGCTGGATGACAACATTCCTTAGGTCATCCGCCAGCTCTATTACAACTGCTCAGAGGCTTGTAAATACCATTCCTCTGTCACTGGGCCTATGAGACTGTTGTTTGGGACCAGAGGGCGATCGGCCTAAGCTATCTGGATCCCTAGCAATATAGTTATTCTAATAGTATCAGCACAACCCCTTCCTTCTGCAGGATTAGTAAGTATTCAAATATTACTGACCAAATGTGTAAGTGCACTAGTGAGCAGGAATGCTCCAGTTTGTGAAGTCCAGCCCCCTACGCCTTGCTCTGATGAGTGAGATGTTTCCACTGAAGACGATTTTTGTTCTTTCAAAGGCCCTATTTTCCTTCCCCTGGAAAAAATGCTTCAGCTGGTGTGTTCACCCCTTATTCACCCCATCAGACACATCCAAATCGCTGTGGTAAACAAGTTCTAGTTTGTCTTTGTGGTATTCTCAAGACCCCATGCAAATCAAGGGAAGGGATCGCAGACAGCAAGAGAGAAACGAGGTTAAATAAGAGGAAGCCATTTTTTAAAATAGCATCTAATTTAATTCTGAATACTGGCATATCCAAACCTCAACTCAACTAACGCCTAGCAGGCACCTTTTAGAACCATACAATTATGCTTGATCCTAGAAAAACAGAAAAAAAGAAGGGATGAGTTCAACCAAAACAATGTTTCTAACATTTCCTAAAACATACTCACTTGTAGGCCTCTTATGTTGTCAACTGCGAGGACCATGGCTTCATTTTCTTGAAACACAACATCTATTTCCTGCTTTAACACTACGGCAGAGTTCTTGCACACCTTCTTGGTCTCCCAGACCTGAGTAAGAGATAAAGAAAATAAGTAACTAGATGTTATCAGTCCCCACTCTGAGATACTATAAAGACGACTCTTCGTCTTAAAGCAAGATAACAAATCATGATTCACAATTAAAATGCCTAAGATATAAAAAGCTCACCTATTAGACTATATAACAACAAGAAATATTGATTAACACACCCTATAGTAAAAAATAGTTACTATTACATGAGTTGTGGGCTCTGCAGTCAAAATGTCTCTGGGAGCTCTACTTTAACAAAACTGTGACATTAGGGAGGTCACCCTGATGAAGGTGAGCACTGGCTGACACCCATCTACACTAAGACACAGAGCTTACAGCAGTGCGTGATGAACAGATCACTAAACAATCTGTGCTTTGCTCTTGTTTTCTTTCCTTCCTTTTACAGAAGGAAGCACTGAGTGATGTATAGTCTAAGTCAAGTCTAGTAAGATGGCACATTAAGTAGCACAGGCCTTTCTGGGCTTTCCCTGGACCTAAGTTTTCACGCTCTCTTTCTATTATAAGAATTAGTAAATCAGTACATACACAGTACTTTGTACGATGTCTGACCTACAGTAGCACTGAACAAATTTTAGCTATGATTTGTACAAAGCACTGTCTTTGATGTTACCAGCACCGACTAGGATTCCTGGACTCAAACAGCTAGATGTAATTCTAAAATATGTAAATAAATCGGGGGCAATGGGACACTGGAAATACAGAGTTAAATCAAATCTATTTTTTAAGTCAGAATTTAATTGGCATCAATCCAAAGTGACACAAAATTACATAATCTTTTTGTTTGTTTTTTCAAGACAGGGTTTCTCTATGTAGCTTTGCGCCTTTCCTGGATCTCGCTCTGTAGACCAGGCTGGCCTCGAACTCACAAAGATCCGCCTGCCTCTGCCTCCTGAGTGCTGGGATTAAAGGTGTGCGCCACCACCGCCCAGCAGAATTACATAACCTTAAAGAAACAGATATTTCCCGAAACAAAGAGAGCTTGAGCAGACCTGAGGGTGGTGAGTATTTCAACAAGTAGAGAGTCAGGAAAGTAAGGTCTCCAAGAGTAAGAGGCTATGGAAGGAAAGGAAAAGAAGCAGGGTATTTGGGAAATGCTAAACTAAAGGACAGACTGAGACCAAATGAGATCCTACTGTGGAGGATCTGAACAGTAGACTTACAAGTATCTATTTCCTTGACGAGCAAAAGAGCCACTATCTGTTTTTGAGCAAAAATGACGTAACCAGAAATGTGGGTATGTCTCAAAATAATAGTGAAACTGTATTGTACATAAGGAAAATATCTTGGACACAGCTGTAAAGTAAGAAAGGAAACAAGGCAGAGCCTAATACCAGTGAGGTAACAGATGATGAGGATCTGAGAGCCTAATACCAGAGAGGTAATAGATGATGAGGATCTGAACATGAACAGTAGGAACAGAAAAGTAGAGATAAATGACAATTAAATTAATAGGTAAAATAAATGAGCTATGAGAATTATCACATAATTAAATATGAGAACTAAGGAGGAAGAAGTCAAAAGTCTTCCCTGGAATCTTATGTAGTAAGTGTAAACAATTTACTCACTGAACTTTGCCCAGCACCCAGCCCACAGTAACATTCAATGAAATGTCTGAATGAATGAGATTGATAGAATCAACTTGACTCCCCAACAATTTATCTCTCTATAAATTTAGTTTAAATGTTTAAAATGAGTGGGGGGTAAGCAGGGGAGGTGATGGCACATGCTATTACTCCCAGCACTCAGGAGACAGAGTCAGGTGGATCTCTGAGTTTGAGGCCAGCCTGGTCTGTAGAGTACATTCCAGAACAGCTAGGGCTACACAGAGAAACCCTGTCTGGAAAAAACAAAACAAAAAACCAAATGTTTAAAATGAAAATCTCAGTATTTCTCACCCGTATTGTCTGGTCATCAGAAGCTGTCAAAAATGATGACCCATCAGGAGAAAACATCACACCATGAACCCAACTTAAATGTCCTCTGCAGTCAGCTACCTTTAAATGTGAATCTATATTCCACAACTACAGAACAAACAAAGAACACAGTTTAGTATAACAAGAATACTAAAAATAATAATATTAAAAATAACAAGAACGACTCAGCAATACTATTTCTACAAATAAAGCCCCAAAACACATTATCAATATTTAAAACTGGCTTATGCATAAGATGATTTCTTATAACAACTATATTTTTAATAGTAAATAAACAGAAATAACAAAAATTGCCATGTGGGTATAGCTCAGTTGGTACATCTCATATTTAGTGAACACAAGGCCTTGGGTTCACTCTACAACACACACACTCACACACACACACACACACAAAATGTCATGAATATATTGTACATAAGGAAAACACCTTAAAGGCAGCAGGGAGACTAACTGAATATATTGTAATTAATCACATAATGGGACACTATGCAAAATGGAATGAGAAAAATACCCCCCAAATAACTAAGCTCTATGATATACTGTTAACAGGAAAAAAATGAAGACATATATTACCTTTTATTTAAGAATTAGATGTTGGGGATGTGGTTTGGTTGGTAAAGTGTTTGCCTAGCATGCACAAAAGCCTTGGGTTCAGTCCCCAACACCATATAAAACCCAACATGATGGCCCAAGGATCAGAAGCTCAGGGTCATCCTTGGCTACATAATAAATTTGAGGCCAGCTTGAGCTACATGAGATCCTGTCTTTAAAAAAAATAGAAAAATAAATATATGGAGCTGGATATAGACAAGCATATGGGTGCACACAGAAATCTGCTTAGATATGCAAGAAGATGCTGCCTATGAGACGGAAGAACGAGGGAGGGAAGAGGTAACAATGACAGTGAGAGTTCTCTGAAAATAACTTACTATAACACTTTGAATCTGGAGTCATGCATGTTTTACCTCTTTTAAAATAAATCTGAAAATAATAGGATGAACATAAGCAGCTTCCGTATAAGGATCATTTCCCTCTAATACTGTCATCCAACCTTCATGTGAACTGGCTGCAAAAGCCTACCGTAAACGAGCACACTAACTGTAGCATGAACACATTGCTCTTCTTGTCCATGCTTATTACAAACTGTCGAGTCTGCCGCCATCCCGGCTGCATGTGTCCTGGGTTCTGCTGTACTCCCTCAAATACACTCCAGTCTAATGAAGAACCACATGTGCCCGAGTTCCTCTCACTACACTCTCAATTACAGACCTACTCTATGATTTCAGAATTAGCATGGACAAAACAAGTACGTCATCATCTGCCCAATGGTTTTCACTTGCTGAAAAGCCTGCCTTATCTCTAGGGTCCCAACTGGAAATTGCAGCCATAAAGGACAGAAATTAAAGTAATCCCACAACTGAACTCTCAAGAATCGCTCCTCCTTACTTTCTTCGCTCTCCCTCGTCTGTCACTGGAGCTTCCCCGGCAAAGCCTTACATTTCAAGAAGGAAGACAGTCATTGTTTCCTGGAGCTTTCTAAGAATGATAGAGGTAAGGATCTTAGAAATGATAGGGAAGGCTGACTATGAAACTCACCAGGAAGTACACGATTGTAAACATAAACGAGTAATTTATAAGCATTACTTCATTTGTGCTGGGCAATGACAATGCTATTTTAGCCAATCATTTATATGACTTCCATCTTACCCTACTCAAATTAACGAAGAATCTGAATTAACTCATTTATTTTAAAAAGATTAGCTTCTGGGGCTGGGGAGATAGCTCAGTGGGTAAGAAGGCTTGCTCTGCAAACATGAGAACCTGAGTTTGGAACTCCCCACACCACGTAAAAAGGCAGACAAATGTGTGTACAGCCAGCACCGAGGAGTAGAGACGGACAGATCTAGAGGGCTCCCTGACCAGCCAGTCTCATCAAAACAGTGAACTTTCAGTGACAGACTGTCTCAGGGCGGTAAGGAGGTGGGTGATAGAGGACGATGTTCTCTGGTCTCTGCATGTGCACCCTGCCACACATGTATACCAAACAGACATGCAAGAATACAGTCTGTGTCTATACTGCTTATGAGATACCACGTCTATACTATTTAAGAATTGCATATGTCATCAAAGTATATGATATGCATGTATGAAAATTAATATAGCCTATTATTTTAAACAAATTATATTAACATTATTTTATATGCCGATTTTAAAACATTGAGAGACTAGGGACAGGGTCCAGTGATAAGAGCACTTTTCTGTGCAAGCATGAGGACCCAGGTTCAAATCCCCAGCACCACATAAAAAGCCAAGCATGGCTGTGTGTGCCTGTCATCCCAACATTTGGGGGGGGTGATGATAGGCGAATCCCAAAGCTCCATGGCCAGCCACCAGTCAGTGAGAGATCCTTTCTTAAAGAAATAAAGAGAAAAGGGAATAAGGCCTCTACATGTGCTTGAACAGGTGTGTACTCTCTCTCTCTCTCTCTCTCTCTCTCTCTCTCACACACACACACACACACACACACACACACACACAGGGTAAAACTAAAAGAAACGCCCTCTCTTAACCTAGGAAGTCAATGATCATTCCATTGTCTGCCCAGTCCCAAGTGTATACTAGATATTCAATAACTGCTTGTACATGGGCCTGTCACTCCATCACTGTGAAATACTGACTTCAATCACAGTACACAGTCAAGCTAGTCAGATAATGGAACACCCCAAAGCTCTATGTTACCAGGCTATGAAGGAAACACATTTCACAGGAAGGCACCCTCAACAGGTAAGGGTTGAGGACGCCCGTTTCTTTGTCGCCCTTAGATCTCCAGAGACCCACACTCCACTGAGTAAGTTCATCTACTCACCTCCACACAGTACTGGGACAGAGCAACCACTGCCAAACGGTCATAGGGGGAGAAGTCACAGTATTGGATGGTGCTGTGGTGACCTGTATGGATCTCTGCCAACAGGCCACTAGTGTGAATATCAAAAAGCTGTCGAAATAAAAGAGATGTCTATAAAAACAAAACATCTTAAATTACCCATGCTGAAGCTAAATTTATTTTTAAAAGATGTTCCTCATATCTCAAATGAAAAACGTAAGTCCTGAAAACGTATGGTTCCTGATGACTAGCATAAATGCTGATAGCTATACATAAGACACAGATTACTGTATATAACATTTTAAAATATAGTTCATCTTGAAAGCTATCTGCTATAGAGGAAAATTCACCACAGATAATCTCTCAAGCTGGCCTAAAGAGAAACAAAACATTTGTGAATGGAGGAACAGACCAGTCAAGTTAGCATACAAAGACAAAAACATTGTGAATGGAGGAACAGACCAGTCAAGTTAGCATACAAAGCAGTTCTCCCGAAGTTACTGATTCAAGAGAGAAAATGTATATCCAGGAGCAAAGGTGGTCAAAACAATACAGAGCAAAGGCCTGCAAAAATGAAATAAGCTCAACCAATTCTATTTCTCTCCAGAGCTACCAAATTATTCCATTACAATTAATCATCTTCCCATTTTTGAACCAAAAAGGCTATTTTTTAGTAATACAACCTTCATTTCAATTCTTGAAAGATTTTCAAATACTGAATATAGTCTTCCAAAGGTTTCACCAAATGGTAAGACTGTGTATACTTCATACACACATACAGTATGTTGATACAGTCTAGCTATTTAAGACGGAGACACAGACAGTCCTCAGGAAGAAAACAAGAGCTTCCAGGGGGAGCCATCAAGAGGTTCGTTCAGTGAACGCACAGCACAGGACAGGCAGATGCCAAGGAGCACAGCAGGGAAGGCCAAAACAAAGATGGGAAACCATATTTAAATGTTTCCCAGGGCAGGCTGTTCTTAAAAATTAGTGGCTAAGAATAACAGGGGAAAATGGCAAATGTGAAATAGGAAATCGTCGCACTTGGGGAATGACAAAAGGGAAAGGGCCTGATACAGGAGTAGACTAACAACACAGGATCTGAAAGAAGGAGAAACAAGAGGGGAAATCGGCACCTACAGACAGGTAAGAGCAACCCTAAGTAACTGTTTCAGCATGGTGACGAGGGAGCGGGTCAATATGGGTCTAAAAATGAGGTGTTCTGCACAGTATATAGCTTTTTCCCTCCGCACAAGAACAGATCTTCTACATGCCTTAAAATTATCTTCCCCTTGGACTGAGGGTTCACCTCAGTGTAGGCGCCTGCCTAGCACTGGGTTCAATTCCCAGCATCAGTCAGGGGGTGAGATGGAAGCTTTTTTTTCTTTGACGTCACTGGTTATCTGGAATATGTGTATCACGCCACCACACCTATTTCAATGGCTCTAAATTTTCAATGGAAAATAATACCATCTGAAATGGAAAGACAGCAACAGGTGTTATGGCGGATGTGGAGAAGTTAACACCCTGTACACTGCTAGTGGAAGAGCCACGGATGCAGCCACGGTGGGAGAGCCACCCTCCTCAAAGACACAAACACCAGGCCATCAGTGTGATCCAGCAAGTCCACCATGAGGAGTGCACAAAAATGCTATTAAAAGTAGGATCCCAACCAGACCCGTGTTCTTCAGCATGCACTGCTGCATCATTCACAGTTCCTAAGAGGTGGAAGGAAGCCAGGTGCCTATACAGAGGAGGGAGTTTTTTAAAAACGTAGTGAATATGCAGAGAGAGAGAGAGAGAGAGACTGTTGAGTTCTGACACATCCTATGACACACATGAGCTTTAAAAACATTGTGCTCAATGAGAGGAGTCAAGCATAAGTAAACCAAGAATTACATAATTCCACCTGTACAATTTCCAGAACAGATAAATTCATGTGCCATGTTCTTAGTCACCAGGGAGTGGGGATAGAGAATGGAGAATTATTAGCTAATTAGTGGTAATGGAGTCTCTGTTTGAGTGATGAAAACCTTTGGAAACATATAGGCAGGCAGTGAGGGTGCACGCCTTGAATCCCAGCACTCAGGAGGCAAAAGCAGGTGGATCTCTGAGTTCTAGGCCAGCCTGTTCTACAGAGCAAATTCAAGGAAAGCCAGGCCTGCACAGAGAAATCCTTTCTTTAAAAAGAAAAAAAAAATGGAAGAAAGATACAGTGGTAATAGATGTACTACATTATGCATAATTATAATGCCAATGAAGTACATTTAAAAATGGTTTGGAAACACCTTTAATTCCAGCTACTCGGGAGGCTGAAGCAAGAGGACTGCAGGTGTGGGGCAAGCCTAGGCTATATCAGTGGGTCAAGGCCAGCCTGCGCAATTTAGCAAGAAGGTATCTCAAAATAAAAATGAAAAAGAGCCGAGGTTGTAGCTCAATGATAAAGTGCTTGCCTATATCTTCAAGACCCTATATTCACACCTTAGTTATCAGGGAAAAAAAATTTAAATGGAAAAGTTTACATTATATATATATGTATATATATTATCACAACAAAATCAAATTTTTAATCTTTGAATTTTATAAATGTAATGATTGTTTTCTATTTTTACAGATTTTTTGTTTGTTTGTTTGTTTTTGTTTTTGTTTTTCGAGACAGGGTTTCTCTGTGTAGCTTTGAGCCTTTCCTGGAACTCACTTGGTAGCCCAGACTGGCCTCGAACTCACAGAGATCCGCCTGGCTCTACCTCCCGAGTGCTGGGATTAAAGGCATGCACCACCACTGCCCGGCTTATTTTTACAGATTTTTAACACACTTAAGACAAAAAGGAAATATATTTTTTCTTAGTTTCCTGCTAGATGGATATAAATCCACAAGCAACCAAGGACCCAGATTCACAATTACTAGCTCAGTCAACAAGCACTCAGTCTCTCAATGAGTTTATATATAAATATACGGTCGCATTGACTCACGTTGTTTAAAACAGTAACAGCCACCAGTCATGTCTTCTAAAGTCAGTATAGGACAGACTCTCCATGAACCATAAATCAGAAGATTTGGCTCCCCTCACAATCCACCTTTGGACGAAGCACTGTGGTACCTGGAGCCCGGTTCCCCCAGTGCCACCATGGCACTGCAACAGTCCACCACAGCTCTTGGGTGTTTATAGTTGAAGTTATGTATGTGGATGAGTACTCAACATGATGCTAGCATGAGATTTGAAAAACGGAAGCTATTTTCTCTTTACTTACTTCATGACAATCTCACTGTCTTATTCAGTTCTTGAGGTGTATTTCTCTCATTGGAGTTACCAAATTGTAAAAGGGATAAACAAAACAAAGCAAAGCAAAAAAACTAAGAGGTTGGAGAGATGGCTCAGCAGTTAAGCGCACTCACTGCCCTTCAAATCGACACAGGTTTGGTTCCTTCAGGGGACCCAATGCCTCTGGCTTCAGCAGGCACCTCCACTCACTCACATGTACGTAACCACATAGACACACAACACATACACATACGTCTTTTTTTTAGGTACTTTGAAAATCACCAAAGTCAATCTATTTTAATTTGGTTTTTTATTTTAATTTTTTAAATAAATTTATTTATTTATTTATTTATTTTGCATCCCAGCCGCAGTTTGCCCTCCCTTCTTCCTCCCAGTCCCTGCCCCCCACACCCCCTTTGTTCCCACACCCAATCTACTCCCCCCTCCATATCTGTTCAGGAAAGGGCAGGTCTCCAAAACACAACATATCAAGTTGCAGTAGACTAAGCACTTCCCCATAGTTTAAGGCTGGGCAAGGTGACCGACTAATGAGGAGCAGGGTCCCCAAGGCCAGTAAAAGAGTCGGAGACGGCCCCTGTTCCCATTGTTAGGAGTCCCACAAGAGGACCAAGCTACAAGGAGGGTTCCTGGAGGGATGGTCAGACCTCCCTGGGAAGAGATTTCATGAGTGGACTGAGGGCGGGTGGGAATGGGAACATGATCGATCCGACTGGGTGGGGGGAAGAGACTACTGGAAAGGGGGAACATTTTGGGGTCAGGTAAAAACCTGACACAAAGGCACAAGGAAACCTCCCAGGAATCTACAAGGATGACCCCAGCTAAGACTCCCAGCAATAGTGGATATTTTAATTTTCTTAAGTGATGAAGAAAGTCTTCTGTTTCAAATAAACTGAAGTGGGGCTAGAAAAAATGGCTCAGCAGTGAAAAGCAACAGTTGCTCTTCCAAAAGACTCAGGTTCAAGCACCCTCATGGCAGCTGACACTCATCCATAGCTACAGTTCCAGGGATTCAGCGCCCTCTTCTGGCCTCCACAGGCATTGCACACATGGTGCAAAAACACACACAACCCATACACATAAAATGAAACAGTAAAAAATAATACATTGGAAGAACACTGACTTGACACTGCAAATTGTTCTTGCAGTGTTTGACTTTAATATGCTGTTTCATGCTGTCTTTCTTGGGAAAGTAAAAAGTATTTCTGACCTGTGTGCTATGACCTTTTCTCTCAAGGCCAGAGAGCAGGGCTCCAAAGATTATGACCAGTTAGGAAGCCTGCCCCAAATCACAGAGCTAAACTAGAAAGTGAAACGTGTAACAGAAGCTGAAACTTACGAGGATTTTGTTTTTTGCTGCCACTATTATTTCAGTACCATCTGCGGACCAGGAGCAACATTTCACTATCACTTCCACATCCTCTTGAGGGTCTTCTGAACTCAGGAAGAACTGCTTCACATTGATGCTTTTCGTCTCATTTGCTGATCTCACATCCCAAAGCTGTTTTCAAAAAAAAAAAAAAACCACAAAATTGCTTTACTCTCAACCCACACCTTTAGAATTCCAACTAGATTAAATGTCATATAAACATACTCTACCTAATGAAATTTTTTACAAATGTCTGACTTTTTATGAGGTTTTTAAATTAAAAACTCCAGCTTCCATTTTGCACCAAAGGGAGGTGGGACCAAGTCTATAAAATTAGATAAAAAGTTAACTGAGCTGCACACAGTTTGGCACACCTATAATGCTAGTACTTTGGAGCTGAGGCAGGAGGATCATGTGTTTGAAGCCAGCCTGGGCTACATGAGATCTCATCTCAAAAGAAAAAAAAAATGGTAAATGGGCCTTTCACAGTGTGGAGGTGGCTAAAGATTGTGTTAACAGTAAGAACAGGCGTGGGAGAGACTCCCAGCTGGCTGCTGCTGCCCTCTGCTGGGACAAGCATGCTTCACACCCACCACCAGCACAGCAGGAAACTGTCCTGGGCCAGCATCCAGAGGTAAGGAGAAACAGCTGTACTGAGAGGAAGCAAAGCTTCCACTGGGCTTGGCAGGACTGTGCAGGGCTGCAGAACTAACCAGCCCCTGAGAACTGAGGTATGAAATATTCTAGAGCTAAGCCGTATTCTATAGCAGCCACACAAGTAGTACAAAAAGCAAAGGCCTCTGAAAAGATCCATGTTTACTCTCTCTGACATGGAGCAATGTCCTGGCTTCAGAAGGGCTGCCATATCCCAGACCAAGGATTGGACAGAAAGAGAGAGAGAGAGAGAGAGAGAGAGAGAGAGAGAGAGAGAGAGAGAGAGAGAGAGAGAGAGAGAGAGAGAGAAAAGGAAAAAAAAAAGCTGCCAAACCCTAACACTTTCCCCAGGGACAACTGTGGCTACACTGTGACTATGTATGACTCTCATTGGTTAATAAAGAGCTGACTGGCCCATAGCTGGGCAGGAAGAGATTGGGTGGGAGAATCAGACTAGAAGGATGCTGGGAAGAAAGGCAGAGTCTCAGGTCGCCAGCCACACATCACGAACACACACACACACACACACACACACACACACACACACACACACACACAAAGTAATATTTGGTCACATCACACAGAATCGATGAGAAATCATACTGTTAGTAGGACAAACAAGGCAACTATTGCTTAAGTTTAGGAAGTAAAATAAAAGCTGACACAATTTAATTTCATTACATCCACCAAAATCGTACCTGCTTCTGCACCTAACTCAGCGCCTGACCAAGGAATGATAAAATTTCACACATCAGGAGATGATCTAAACCACACCATCGCACTCTGAGGAGGTCACTGCACTGTAACCGGGGTCCCTGTGCACCCTAAGACACTGTGTGCTTTAAATAACAATCTTTGAATAAAACATTTTCTCATTAAGGTCCAAAAAGCACATGCTTGCCAACATGATACCCTACAACAAGCTTAGAAAACTCCCGGAGCCTTTGGGCCATGAACTAATTTTACAGCTTATTCTCTCGGATGACAAAAGCTTACAAGGCCGTGGCCTTGACATGCTGTTGTCTGGCATCATTGTGCAGGACCTTTGCTCTCCACATGTCACTGTGCAAGCCAGCCAGTGACAGTGGCTTCACAGCACTGTGGGGAAGCCACCATCAACACAGGCGGTTCTCCCATAAGTGGAGTGGTGCCTGTCCCCCACTGCTAGCGACACTCACACGCGAAGACAGAAGTCACACACCGTCTCTGAGCCACACGACATCAGATCTGCTCAGCTCAGGACTCTGCACTGACCACGCGATGGAATCAGCCTCTGTGTCCACGAACGGATGAGTGGTGACAAAAACGTAGTGCGCGCTCACAATAAATGGTGGTGAGTGCAGACTCTGACTGGCAAAGTGCTGAGAATAAGTGACGAGTGAGTCCTGAACAAGACATTCATACCATCCCTCTAAGGCCCAGGGGATGTAGCACATGAAGGGGTGGAGAGAACAGCCAGAAGACGGGAGAAGCAGCAAAACGCCATCTTATGGGCAAGACTGCAGCTATCAATCAGAACTCAGACCCGCTCGCACGGCAAATGCCTGCACTGAATCTGCACAGGATGGACCTGCAGCCAGCGAAAGGGCTCAGCAGCCAGAGAGCAAACCTGGCCTCTGGAATCAACTCTGGGAGAAGCAGAGAAACAACTCCTGCAAGCTGTCCTCCAGCCTCATGCATGTGCTGTGGCATGTGCACGCGCGCACACAAACAATGAATGAATGAATGAATGAATGGGAGACCTTGATTTGGGGGATGTGGGGATGTGGGGTGGCTTGGGAGGGAGGGCTGGAGGGTGGGAGGAGGGAGGAGATGGGATCTGTGGTATGTAGAGTCAGTAGAAAATTTCTTAATAAAGAAAAATGAAAAAAAAAAAGAAAAGAAAAGAAGAGAATGAGGGCCCCTAGGGGCTGAGAGATGGCTCAGTGGTTAAGAGCACTAGCTGCTCTTCCAGAGGTCATGAGTTCAATTCCCAGCAACTACATGGTAGCTTACAACCATCTCTGGTGGGATCTGATGTCATTTTCTGGCATAAAGGTGTACATGCAGATAGCGCTCATGTATAAAATAAATCTTTAAAAAATATTTTTTTAAAGAAAAAAAAGTCTGAGAGGCCGAGAGAAAACCAAATTAGGAGAGCACCAATGGGACCCTGGCTCCTTCCTGTTTCCCTCTTTGCTTTCAAGACACCTGTAGGTAAGCAGTTTCTTTCCCCATACACTCCCTGCCACAGGCCCAGATACAACAGGGTCCGATGAAACCCTGAAACTGTACCTCCTTCCCAAGTCGTCTGTCTCAGGCACTGTGTGACAGTTTCGGGACACTAGTGCCACCAACAGAAACTTAGAGTCAACCCAAATCCTGCGGATTTCTCTAAGATGAGAACCTCCAATGGTGGACAAAAGCTTACCTTTAATGTTCCATCAGCCGAGCAACTAGCCAGGAGCTCATCATCTGGGGAAAACCTGCAGTGGTTGACTGAGTTTGTGTGACCAAACATGGTGTTTCGGCATTCTTTTTGATTTAAATCCCAGAGCTATTTGGAAAGGAAAAAAGACAAGTAAAAACTAACCAGAACTGGAGACTGGTGTGGTGAACCACAGAAATTCCAACTGCATTGAAGGCTGAAACAGAAGGGTCACTTGAAGCTCAAAAGCTCTAGACCAGCCCAGGCATCTGCCCCTTATAATTATAATTAAGGTGGAAGGAGGAAGTGGAGACTGGGGAAGGTGGTTCCAGGGAAAGTGAGGGGGAGATTTGGGTCTGTATATGTGAATCAAACTGTCAAAGGATCTATTCTGAAATCTATACTACATGAGGGCTACAGAGCATTTGCTGCTCTCCCAGAAGACCCAAGTTCAGTTCCTAGCATCCACTTCAGCAGCTTACGACAGCCTGTAACTCCAGCGCCAGGGAATTCAGTGCCCTCTTCTCTGTCCTCCATGGGCACCTACATACAGTGGCACACACACACAAAAGTTAAAATTAATTTAAAAGAGAAAAATTAATCTAAGCTAAAAGGGGGAAAGTCAATAATCGTACTAAGTTTTTCCTTTTCATTTGAGGTTTTTGGTTGCAGAATGATATTCAATTCATAGTAACACAAAGGTATCAAATACAGATAAACTTATGATTAATAACAGGGCAACCTTTGGATCAACATCTCAATCCACTCCGGGACTTGAAGGCCTCAGTAGACTTTTAGTGTGAACACTAAATTTACTGAACAACTGTTGCTTATTTTTAACAGGTGGTTTAAAATCATCATATTTATTTGGCTACAAAAATCAATAGTACTGTGCAAATTATCTCCATACTTTTTAAAGCTAGGTTACAAAAATGGTCTAAGCAAAGTTTCCATATCTATGACTTCCTAAACCTTGAGATAAGTAACTAGACTAAAAGCTATTAATGGCCTTAAAAACTTCAAAACCGCCGGGCGATGGTGGCGCACGCCTTTAATCCCAGCACTCGGGAGGCAGAGGCAGGCGGATCTTTGTGAGTTCGAGGCCAGCCTGGTCTACAGAGCGAGATCCAGGAACGGCACAAAGCTACACAGAGAAACCCTGTCTCAAAAAACAAAAAAAAAAACAACAAAAAAAAAAAACTTCAAAACCTTCAATGATACCAGAATATAGGAACTACGGGGGTTAGAAGATCAGATCAAATAACACTCCAGTAAACCTCCCAAGAAATCCGAGGGATACAGTCCATGAGACGGTAATTCTATTCGTCTAGTAAACCAACAGCAAGAAACGGAAATGGGAGAAACAAGAGTTTTTAAGAGAATAAAATAGACAACCACCAAGTGTCAAGTTTATTTGGATTCTGATTCTAAGAAACCCACGGTAAAAAGCATGGGTTTGAGAGCACATATGAGAAACTTAACACAAGCCAGGTACACAACGAAAGTACAGTTCTCTCTCTACTGTTGGGTGTGGACACGGCACGTGATCTAAGAGCAAAGCTGAAATATTTGGGGTGAGATGACATATACAGGATTTGCTGTAAACTGCTCTAAACGAAAAGTCAAGTGTAGGATGTGGATAAAGCTTGTATAAAATAGGACATGGGGAATCTTATTTTTATTTTTTGTGGTGCTGAAGATTGAACCTGGGGCCCTTTAAATGACAGGGTGGCACTCTATCATGAAGGTTCACCTTATCCTTCTGAAAAGTTGAAAATAGTCATTGTTTGAGACACATTCTCAATCTGTAGCCTAGGCTATAAAACTCAGGCTCCTCTTGCCTCACCCTCCCAAGAGCTGAGATTACAGGGGTGTGTCACCATACTCAACAGCCTGAGGTTTTCTAAAATGTTTTACCTACGCCTCTTTAAAATCTCATATCCCACTGTAAAAATGTGACACTGTGGACCAAAGGTTTGAAACAAAATTAATTTTTTTTAAAAAAAAAATCCAACAGGAAGTAACATCTTTCTAGAACCCCAGACTATTTAACCTATATTCCTCCACTTAGAGAACACAAGACACAGTCTTCTCCAACCCCAGGACTCTGCCCGCCTGCACTGCAGTTACACAACAACGAAGTTGAACTAAGTGGGGGGAAGCAGGACTGCCTTCAAACTAGACCTGCAGGACCTAGGACAAGCTTCTCTTACAAACCTGGAGCTAGGCTACTTCCTGTCACGAAAAGACAATGATTGGACCACCTAAGAGGGCAGAGACCAGAGACAAGGAGGGAGGACCTGAGAACACAGCTGATGGATCTGGATGCCAACACCAGAACCATGCTCACGGCGGACTTTTCGGTGATACAAGCTAGTCATGCTTTTTTCCCCCCTATTTGTTTATGGATATGAAACTTAGAATATGGACATTTAAATCCCAGCACTAGGGAGACAGAGGCAGGCGAATCTCTGAGTTCTAGGCCAGCCTGGTCTATAGAGTGAGTTCCAAGACAGCCAGGACTACACAGTGAGACCCTGCCTCAAACAAACAAACAAAAAACAAAAGCCACTTGATAATACAATACACATGAGAAAACTCAAAGCAGACAGTCTGGTGTATCACGAACTCATCTGCATAATTTCCAGCACCCACACTTACTTTGAGGAAGAAGTCATTTGAGCCAGTGGCCAAGAGAAGCTGGTTACTTTTGTTGGTGAAATGGCAGCAGTTGACTTGCTCTGAGTGCTCATCATAGGTGTGCACTAGCTTCCCAGTCGCAGAATCCCAGATCTGAAGAGAACAAAAAAAACCAAAATGTATGAACAGCCATTATTTCCAGAGGGAACACAGAAGGAAAGAGCCAGTATACATCACTCTGCAGATACTGTCTCCTGTGAGGACACATGTCCCCCTGAGCATGACACTGATGGGAATCTACTTCCTAGTCTCTAAATATGGCAAAATCCTGCCTTACTTTAAAAAGTTAAGCACAAAGAACCAGCTATGGTAGCACAGGCCTTTAATTAATCCCAGCACTCCGGAGGCAGACACAGGCAAATCTCTGTGAATTGAAGGCCAACCTGGTCGGTCTACACAGTGAGTTCTAAGACAGCCAGGGCTACATAGTAAGGCCCTGTCTCAAGAAAAAACAGAACAAAACAAAACAAAAAAAAAAACAAAACAACAACAAAAGCTAACCACAAGATCCCCCATGTTTCTGTAAGTGATAGCAGTGAAGAAGTGGGACCCAAGGACAAGATCAGACTTCAATGTGTTATCGACGACACTTGACACTTCCAACATCTGTAAGAGGTTCAGTTTTCCTCTTACGCCCCTTCTACCTTTGTGAAGCACTTCAGAGCATTATGAAAATCCAAGACAGTCAAAGAGTGTCTTTTTTAAGCTCTTTAGCGAGTATTTCTGCTTCCTGCTAGGTTTTCAGTCCTGAGAAAGAGAAACTTGGTGTTAACTCTCTCACTCTGTATCATTCTGACTTTAGAACTTGGAACTGCTCAGCATGGCCAATCTCAACTCAAAGTAGAGGTTACAGAATGAATAATCATTGACTGGACACCACTGAGCCTACCAAGAGAAGAGGGAAAGAGCAGGGGATCAGGAGGAATGGAGAGTGGATGGAGAGAGTAATGGGAGCTATAATAAAAACAAAATATGGAGAATGGGAGGCAAATGTCGAAATCAATTATGTACATATATGAAAACCAGTGTTATGTAGTTAATGTATGCTAATAAAAAATAAGGTTTTACCAACATCTCAGTTTTAGTCTAGACACTCCACAGTCCTCTTCAGTGGGATGAAAACCCTCTAAGCAAACCATTGCTGCCCACTCCATTTCCCAAGGTCACACCGCTCTACAACTCTGCTGACAAAGCTTTGTCACAATGAAGTGGGACATGGTAGCATGTGACTGACACCAGCACTCAGGATGCTTCTGCTGCAGCAGGAAGACTTTTATATGAGCTCATCGCCAGCCTGGGTTACAAAGTCAGACCCTGTCTCCACACTTGAAAATAGAAAAGACATAGACACACAGACAGACAGACACACACACACACGCACATAGAGACACACACACACAGACACACAGACACAGACACAGACACACAGAGACACACACACAGACACACACAAACACACACACATACACACACACTGAAGTAAAGCCTCCCCTCTATATATTAGTGACAAGTAATTTCAGTTGCTCTTAAATTCCTTATTAGTATAAATGCTCCAAATAAAAGCTAAATTTTAAGGGTAAGACCAAAGAAATAATAACTAACAAAAATAATATCACTCTTTTTTCCCTTGCTTATTTTTTTATACCAACAACCTGTTAGTGTATTCATGACTAGCTTTGCACTGATTATATAAATCAGCCTATAATGTTAAAAATAGAATCAGGCTATATTTCACAAATTATATAACTTTACAATGGGAATTAGATCTCAGACAATTGTTTTTAAAACAATACTTCTAATCAAAGATGTCAACTGATATTTAATCCATAGGTGTATCTATTCATGACAGGCAAACTCACTAATTTATACAATTTTTCCTCACCATTGGCTAAATAGTTGAAGCTGCTCAAGCTAAGCAATTTTATTTGGGTACTTAGAAATAAGGACTTGGGACTCCTGTCAGGGAACCAGGTAGGCTGACTTCAGATCTTCAACCCCACCCCATCTGTTCCCCCAGATCCAATCTCTACAGCCTCATCCCCAGCTCTGCAGCAGACACAACACCTGTTATGGTCTCCCTTTTCTCTCTGACCCCATCCCCAAGGATAACAAAGATCTTCTCCAACCTTTCTTTCCCAACTCAACCAATCATCCTCCAACATCAGCAAGCATAAAAACAAAATAAATAACAGCCAGGACAAGAGCCTAGAAACTCTGCCACAGCAGGCCCTGAATAGTCCAACATGGCTGAAGCCCAAGAAAAAGACCTTAAAACAGACTTATGAAGATAATGGAGGTTCTTAAAGAGGAAATTAATAAAGTCCTTACAGAAATCCAGGAAAACACAAACAGTGTAAGGAAATGAGTAAAACTGTTCAAGACCTGAAAATGGTAATAGAATCAATAAGAAAACCCAAACTGAGGGAATTCTGGAAATGAAAAAATCTAGAAATTCGAACAGGAACCACAGAGTCAAGCTTCACCAACAGAATATAAGAGATGAAAGACAGAATCCCAGGGATTGAGCTATGATAGAAGAAAAGGATGCATTGGTTAAAGAAAATGTTAAATCTAAAAAACTCCTGACACACAACAGCCAAGAAATTTGGGACACCATGAAAAGACCAAACCTAAGAGCAAAAGGAATAGAGGAAGGAGAAGAATCCCAGCTCAAAAGCCCAGAAAGTATTTGCAACAAAATCATAGAAGAAAAATGTCCTAACTTAAAAATGGAGAGGCCTATAAAGGTACAAGAAGCATACAGAACACCAAATAGATTCGACCAGAAAAGAAAATCCCCTTACCACATAACAATAAAAACACTAAACTTACTGAACAGAGAAAGAATATTAAAATCTGCAAAGGAAACATATAAAGGCAGACCTACTGGAATTACCCCGACTTCGTAATGAAGACTCTAAAAGCCAGAAGGGCCTGGACAGATGTGCTGCAGACTCTAAGAGACCACAGATGCCAGCCCAGACTACTATACCCAGCAAAACTTTCAATCACCATAGATGGAGAAAACAAGATACTCCACAAATGAGTCAAATATAAACATAGTTTACAAATCCAGCCTTACAGAAATTGCTAGAAGGAAAAAGCCAAACTAAGGTTAACTACACCCATGAAAACACAGGAAATAATCTCACACCAGCAAAGGAAGGAAAGAAAGAAAGAAAGAGAGAGAGAGAGAGAGAGAGAGAAAGAAAGAAGGGAGGGAGGGAGGGAGGGAGAGAGGGAGGGAGGGAGGGAGGGAGGGAGGGAGGGAGGGAAGGAAGGAAGGAAGGAAGGAAGGAAGGAAGGAAGGAAGGAAGGAAGGAAGAAAGACACGAACAACAAAATTACAGTAATTAACAATCATTGGCTATTGATATTTTCAATATCAATAATTTTAATCCCAGTAAAAAGATATATATTTACAGAATGGATTCAAAAACAGGATCCATCCTTCTGCTGCATACAAGAAACACACCTCAGCCAAGCAGTGGTGGTGCAAGCCTTTAATCCCAGCACTTGGGAGGTAGATCTCTGTGAACACAGAGAAACCCTGTCAAGAAAGAGAGAGAGAGAGAGAGAGAGAGAGAGAGAGAGAGAGAGAGAGAGAGAGAGAGAGAGAGAGAGAAGGGAGGGAGGGAGGGACCTAAGAAGCAAGCTAGTGTAGCCATTTTAACACCTAACAAAATAGACTTCAAGCCAAAACTAATCAGAAGAGATGAAAAAGGACACTTCATACTCAAAGGGAAAATCCACTAGGGTGACATTTCAATTCTTTACATCTATGCCCCAAACACAAGAGCATCCAAGTTTGTAAAAAAAACATGACTACAGCTTAAATCACATCTTGACCCTCACACACTGATAGCAGGAGACTTCAATACTCACTCTCACCAACAGAGAGGCATCCAGACAAAAACTAAACAGAGAAATACTGGAGCGAACAGATATTTACAGAACATTTCACCCAAACAATATACCTTCTTCTCTACACCTCATGGAACATTCTCCAAAATTAACCACATACTCAGACACAAAGCAAGTCTCAACAAATAAAGAAAATAAAATACCCCCTGAATTCTATCAGATCACCCCAGATTAAAGTTGGACATCAACAACACAAACAACAGAAAGCTTACAAATTCACAGAAACTGAACAACTCACTACTAAATGAAAAATGGATCAAGACAGAAATCAAGAAAAAAATTAAAGACTTTCTAGATTTTAATGAAAATGAATATACAACATACCCAAACTTATGGGACACAATGAAAGCAGTTCTAGGTGGCAAGTCCATAGCGCTAGTGCCTACAACAAAAACAAAAACAAAAACCTGGAGAGACCTCTAGTAACTTAACAGCACACCTGAAAGCTCTGGAGCAAAAAGGAGAAATCACACCTAAAAGGGGTAGATGGAAAGAAACAAACTTGGGCCTAGAATTGATAAAACAGAAACAAAGAGAACAGTGCAAACAATCAATGAAACAAAGAGTTGGTTCTTTGAGAAAAATCAGTAAGACTGACAAACTCTAATCCAAATTAACTAAAGGAGGGGAGAGAACATCCAAATAAACAAAATAAGAAATGAAACGAGGGACATAATAACAGACACCAAGGAAATTCAGAGAATCATAATAACATACTGTACTCCACCAATTGGAAAAATCTAAAAGAAATGGATAATTTTCCTGATAGGTACCACTTACCAAAGTTAAATCAAGATCAGGTAAGCAATTTTGACAGAACTATAACCCCTAGTGAAATAGGAGCAGTCCTTTAAAGTCTACAAAGAAAAAAAAGCCCAGGGCAAGATGGTTTTAGTGCAGAATTCTACCAGACCTTAAAGAAGAGTCAACGCCATGCCGGGCGGTGGTGGCGCATGCCTTTAATCCCAGCACTCGGGAGGCAGAGCCAGGCGGATCTCTGTGAGTTCGAGGCCAGCCTGGTCTACAGCGCGAGATCCAGGAAAGGCGCAAAGCTACACAGAGAAACCCTGTCTCGAAAAAACCAAAAAAAAAAAAAAAAAAAGAAGAGTCAACGCCAATACTCCTCAAATTATTCCACAAAATAGAAACAGGAATACTGCCAAATTCATTTTATGAAGCCACAGGTACCCTGATACCCAAACTGCATACAGACCCAATGAAGAAAGAAAACTACAGACCAATTTCCCTCAAAAACATAGATGTAAAAAATACTCAACAACAACAACAACAAAAAATACTCAGCCGGGCGGTGGTGGCGCACGCCTTTAATCCCAGCACTCGGGAGGCAGAGCCAGGTGGATCTCTGTGAGTTCGAGGCTAGCCTGGGCTACCAAGTGAGTTCCAGGAGAGGCGCAAAGCTACACAGAGAAACCCTGTCTCGAAAAACCAAAAAAAAAAAACCAAAAAAAAAAAAAAAAAAAAAAATACTCAACAAAATACATTTGCAAGCTGAATCCAAGAACACATCAAAAAGACCATCTACCATGGTCAAGTAGGCTTCATCCCAGAGATGCAAGGATGGTTCAACATAAGAAAATTAAAAGTGTAATCCACCACATAAACAAACTGAAAGAAAAAAAAAATCATCTCATTAGATGCAGAAAAGGCCTTTGACAAAATCAGCACCCCTTCATATTAAAAGTCCTGAAGAGATTAGGGATACAAGGAGCATATCTTGTTGTGGAATAACCTTTTTGTACACTGTAAAGATAAGTCTCTGCCTAAGGTACCTTCTGGTTGGTTTAATTAAGAGCTAAATAGCTGGGCAGGAGGGGATAGGTTGGGACTTCTGGGCAGAGAAAAACTCAGCAAGATGAATCTAGGTGCAAGAGATACCAGCGAGACAGGGAGGGAGTGGGACATACAGAATGGAGGAGACATAAAAAGCCATGTGGAAGAACGTAGATTAATATAAATGGGTTAATTTAAGTTAACCCATTAATATAAATGGGTTAATTTAAGAGCTAGCTGGGAACAAGCCTAAGCTAAACGTCTAGCTTTCATAATTAATAATAAGTCTCTGTGTCATTATTTGGGGGCTGGCGATCCCAAAAGAAAGTCCTGCTACAATACCTAAACAAAGTATGGCAATTTACAGCAAGCCCGTAGCCAACATCAACTTAAATGGAGAGACCCTCAAAGCAATTCCAGTAAAACCAGGAACAAGACAAGGTTGTCCACTCTCTCCATATCTATTTAATATAGTACTTGAAGTCTCAGCTCGAGTTTGGTTTTGCTTGTTCAGATTGTGACTGTGCCCTGGTGATTCCTTCTTGAAGTGAAAGGGTATTTAATTTTGATTTTTACAGGAGCCCACAGCTGAAAGACTTTGAACTTTTAAAGGAGATTTTGGAATTTTAGAGAGATTGGCTATTTTAAAGAGACTGAAATATTAAAGTGCTTGAATTGTAAAGACTGTAGGACTTTTATTAAAGTTATTTATGTTTTTAATGTGAGATCTTGGAGATGAATAAGAAAGGAAAGGCTGTGGCTTAATAGTGATGTTTGTGTAGCAAGTTGACAAGGGGTCAGTTGTACTGACTAGTCTTATGTCAACTTAACACACAAACTAGAGTTATCTGAAAGAAGGGAACCTCAACTGAGAAAATGCCTCCATAGGATCCACCTGTAGGGCACTTCCTTAATTAGTGATTGATGGGAGAGGGTCCAGCCCACTGTGGGTGGTGCCATTCCTGGGCTGATTGTCCTTGTTTCTAAAAGAAAGCAGGCTGGACAAGCCATGTGGAGCAAGCCAGTAAGCAGCACCCTTCCATGGCCTCTGCATCAGCTCCTACCTCCAGGTTCCCACCCTATTTGGGTTCCTGTCCTGACTTCCTTCAATGATGAATAATGATATGAAAGTATAAGCCAAATAAATCCTTTCCTCCCCAACCTGCTTTTAGGTCATGGTGCTTTGCTGCAGCAATAGAAACCCTAACCAAGACAAACATGGAGAGTTTGAACTGATGCCTACACAGAACCTTCACCCCCATGTTCTGGTGTCTTTGGTACAGGAAGGTACTCCGAAGGCTACCAAAACAGAAATGAAAACACCAGCCCAGCCACAAACCCTTTGATCTATGATCTGTCCTGCCTGTAAAATATGCTAGGGCAATGGTGGCACAAAGTAGGAGTAACCAACCAATGTCTGATATGACTTAAGGCCCACTTAGAGATAGAACCCATACCTGACAGTGCCTGGATGACCAAGAACCAGAGACTAGATAGCCCAGAGACCTAGGTTAAAACCAAATACTACTGGTATAAAAACAAAATCTAATGATAAAATGACTCCTAATGTATTCTGCTATATTCATTCATCAGTGGCTTATTCAGTCATCTGAAAAGCTTCCTCCTGCAGCGGATGGGAACAAATACAGAGACCCACAGCAGACATTATGCAGAGAGAGCTCTAAATGGGATGTCTCTGTAGTGGGTAGCTGTTCCAGCTTTGACCTGGAAGTACTACCCCTAGTGAGGCTTCCAGTAACTGCCACGCCTACCTATGGCCTGCCCCTGGGGCGGGCCGAGACGGAAGCCCTTAAGACCTGAGATCTGGACATTCAACCTGCTTGGTTCCTGGTGATCCTGGATGCTGGATGGCAGACCAAGTCAGAGTTCTCTAGAGAACCCCACTGGACTGCACCTCACCTCTCCTGGATCTTGTAACAAACCCCTTTACTGGCTGTAAGTTACCCCAAAATAAACCTCCTTTTTAACTACATGGAGTTGCCTTGTTAATCCCCACAATATGTCTCCATCAAATCCCACCCCTCAGAGCTCCAGGAACCCCTTGGAAGAAGAGGTGGAAGGAGTGTGGGAACCAGAGGGGATGGATGGAGGACACCAGGAGAATAAGTCCTTCCCAATCAACTGAGCAAGCTCATGTGGACTCACAGAGACTGAAGCAGCAAGCACAGGGTTACACAGGTCTGCACCAGGTCCTCTGTGCATACACTACAGCTTTAGATTAGTATTTCCATGGATCTCCTGAGTGTGTGAACGAGAGGGTCTGGTTCTTGTGCCTGCTCTTGGAGCTCTTTTCTTTCTGTTGGTTTGCCTTGTTTAACTTGGATGGAATGATTTTTGTTGTATCTTATATTTTGTTTTGTTGTTATCTTAGAAACCTGTTCTTTTCTAATGACAGGCAGAAAGGGAGTAGATCCAGATGGAAGAGGAGATGGGAAGCACCTGGGTAGAGGGAGGGGAAACTGTAATCAGGATATATTGTATGAGAAAAGAATCTATTTCTAATAAAAGGGGAATGTTCTTTAAATAATTAAAAAAAAAAAAAGAAGAGAAATGAAGAAGGATTTGGGCTTAATGATTAAGAGTACATAGTGCTCCTCCAGAAGAGACAAGTTCATTTCCCAGCACCCACTTTAGGAGCCTGATAAATGACCATTATTAACTCCAGCTCCATGGGACCCAACACCCTTGTCTGAACTCTGCAGGCACTGTATTTACATTTGCGCAGACACACACATAGACACACATGTATATATGACTAAAAAAAATAATAAATGAAAGAAAGAAGAACTGTTGTGATTTCAACTCAAAACACCGTTTTCCTACCATAATTTATTTCTATATATGTGAGTATTTGCCTAAATGTATGTATGTGCACATGCAGTGTCCACAGTGGTCAGCGGTATGTTGGATCCCCTCGAACTGGAGTTACAGGGGTTATGAGCTGCTATGTGGGTTTTCTGCAAGAGCAGTAAGTGCTCTGACCACCAGGCCACTGCTCCCGCACCTACCTTAACTTTTCTATCCACTGAGCAGTAAGTGCTCTGACCACCAGGCCACTGCTCCCGCACCTACCTTAACTTTTCTATCCACTGAGCAGTAAGTGCTCTGACTACCAGGCCACTGCTCCCGCACCTACCTTAACTTTTCTATCCACTGAGCAGGTTGCTATGTAACTGTCATCTGAGGAGAACGCACAGCAAAGTACTTCATCTTCATGAGCTTTGATTTCCAGAAGTTTCTCTCCTGTCTCAGCTTTGAACACCTGCGGAACAACAGTAAGGTCTTTTTTACTGTAAACCACTTATCCATAGGGCATCACTTAATGAAAACACATCTCTGAAAGTTCTTAATCACTGCTATTTTCTAAACAGAAATGAAACTTAACAAAATGACTGAAAATCAGAATTTGTCAGAATTCCTAAGTGTAAGCATAAACAGAGAAGTATTCATTGTTAAGTGTTGCTAAATATCACTAAGAAGAAGTGGTGATATACCTTCAGTTCTTGGAATTATATTGACAAATTCTAAACAATCAAATATGCTTTCTTTAGGGGCTATAAAAGCCAAAAGAAGGTTGCAGATGTAGTTTAGCAGTAGAGTGCTTGCCCAACAGGCACAAAACCCTGAGTTCAAATCCCAGCACTATCAGGGGAATTCTCTAAAGGCCAAAATGAATATAATTGGTAATCAAGTACCACAGAAACGAGTATACAATTATGATGTTGGAAAGACTCAAACTATTCTAAATAGAAAAGCTGTACTAATTTGACTTTCTTCAATGTGCAGGTAGAGAACCAATGTGGGGGGAAAGGACTCATTCCTACTTCCCAAACACGAGGTGAGAACTAAAGCACCTTTGGAGATAATCTAGTCTAATTCCCGTTTACAGTCAGAAGTCTTTAGCCTTTGACAACTTGTTTAGCCAATGATTTTTCAGCAGAGTTCTATTTGCTGATGGCATCTGTCCGTCCATTAAGAACTGTCATTTTCTCATTACCCATAATGGCAATTGGAGGGACAGTAACTGCCAAGGTAAAGAGTTCCTTGATGACCCTGGCGAGCCTGGAACTACTGAAAACAGCTCCATCTTTAATATTCTGAAGAACCTTCTATGTTCAGAGTTCTACCTTTCTTTACTTCTAAATTTTAGCATTGAAACATATTCTAGTCTGCACAAGTAGGCCACACGCTTCTTCCGGGTTTTTTTCCAGGAGATGCGTCTTACCTGTACGGTTCTATCAGCTCCACAAGAAGCTACTCTCTGGCCATCCTGAGAAAAGCATGCATGGTAAACAGCATCTGTGTGGGGGCGGACAACTAAGCGCGAGAGGTTCTTGACAGTTTTCTTGTTTCTAAAGGCAAGTGGAAAATGAAGAGAAACTCAATGACTAAGGATGAAAGTCATGTTTTCTTTCAATGTGTCTTTTAACATGGTTGTATTTCTCCCAAATACAAAATTGTTGAATTACTAACATGCAAATGACAATACAGAACACCTAAAGAAAAAAAGCAATCTAACAAAAGTGACATTCTAAGAGAAACACTATCTTACATCAAGCCACTTGGCACGTGTTACAAATGTCACTGAGTTAAGAGAAATCTACATAATCAAACACATGCCACTTTCTATTTTCCCTTTAAAAAAAAAAGATTTTACTTATGTGTTTTGCCTGCAGGTATATCTGAGCACTATGTACATGCAGTAACCACAAAGGTCAGAAAAGGGCATTATATTCCCGGGAACTCAAGTTACAGGTGGTTGTGAGCCACCGTGTGGGTGCTAAGAACTAAACCTGGTCCTCTGCAGCAAGTGCTCTCAGCCACTGACCCATCTCTCCAGCCCCTCTACTTTCTTTTGATACATTAATGCAATAAGTCCAAGCATATCTTTTTTGAAACACTTTTAAAATTAAAGACACCATTGCAGAATGAAACTCAATACTACATATGATGATATACTTTTAAAATGTTTTCCTCTAACTCCACTCAGATTGGGGGTGGGAGGTGGGGACACATAAAGCAATGTCACTGTCTTTCTATCTTAATTCTACAGAATGCCAACTATGCCACTAAGAGGGATATTATATTATTGCCCACAAGCTCAGGAGTAAAGAGTGTATGTGCACTTAAAATAGGACCAAGTATTAGAGAAAAGCCAGACTACAAGCCTGTAGAGAAAACAATTATACTTCACCAGAAGTGATATGTAAGTACAATATGAGGATTAAAATTATGTCAACCTGTAAGGACATGTAAGCTACTTGCAAAGTTCGGAGGACTAGACTAAGAGTATAATCATTCCAGTTGAACGCAATGGCTCACACTTGTAATCTCACATACCTGGGAGCCTACAGTAGAAGGACCCAGTGTTCAAGCCTAGCCTGAACATCGAGACTGTCTTTAAAACAAAACAAATAAACCTGTCTTTCCTTTGATCATCTACTCAGTTCCTCAGAGTGAAGACAGTGGTCTTCACAATGACAGACGCAGAGCACAAAGATAACAAACGGACGCATGAACAAACTACTTCTTTAAAACTCAAACTTAAGCTTATGCAATGCAAACCCTTGTACAACTGAAAAAGAAAAGGTTTCTAGTGCTGAAATAAAGCATTCTTGGAATATGGTCTGGTCCAATCTAGGTAAAGAAAAACACAACTACGGCTGACTAACCGTCCTATGCCAGCATCCTATGCAGGTACAATGGGGGAGAAGCAGAAAACAGTTAAAATTAAATGTCTCAGTAACTCCTAAGGGAGAAAGAACTGGATCTCTGTCCATTTCATCAGATCAAGTGTGAAGAATCCATGTAAGAGCTGGAGACATGGCTCGGTTGTTAAAGTGCCTAACCCACAACCATGGGGACCACAGTCAGGTCCCCAGAACACACACACTGCCAGGTGTGTGTGGCAGCCTGCCTGCAGTTCCTGCACTCAGGAGGCAAGGAGGAGGCAGGGATTTCCTCAGAGCAAGCGGGCTAGCCAGATTAACCCTGCTGGCCAGCTCCAAGTTCAACCGAGAGACCTGTCTCAGTGAGTACGATGGAGAGATGAAGGAAGACTTCACATGTCAACCTCAGGCTTACACACACACACACACACACACACACACACACACACGCACACACACACGCACACTCACAAACACGCAAACAGCATACACACATCCAAATGTGCATACACAAACACATTTTTTAAAAAGATTTCATTTAGCCAGGTGGTGGTGGCACACGCCTTTTATCCCAGCACTCGGGAGGCAGAAGCAGACGGATCTCTATGAGTTTGAGGCCAGTCTGGTCTACAGAGTAAGATCCAGGACAGGATCCAAAAGCTACACAGAGAAACCCTGTCTCAAAAAACCAAAGGAAAAATAAAATTTCACTTAGTCACTAACTAAACGGGAATTTATCAAACATCCCCAAGTTTCTACTGAATACAATGGTAAGGAGCAGGCAGATGCCAAATGCTCCTCCTAGTAACAACAGCTAATGTTACAAAGCATTCTCTGTGAGCTGGATACTGCTCTAGGCTCTGCATGTATGCAGGAATGTATAGACACAGCCCTCTAGTCCTCTCTATGCTAGGACTATTTTATGAATTGGTATGATTAGGCAAGAGAAGTTGAATAAAATTTCCCTAATAATTGACAAGTATAACTGAAAGCTGGAACTGAAGCCCAAAAATCAAGAACAAGAATCCTATCCTAATTTCCATACTATTCTGCACCACGGGATAGATGGGCTAATACAGAAGAAAAGTGAGCAAAAAGATAATCACAACAAAAGCTTACAAGGGAGAAGAGAAAAAGCAAGATGTATCCTAGAACATCAACAGATCTAATGGAGCTCCCACGAGGCTGCTACCCTGAATGGAAGTCACCCTTCGCCTTGCCTTAATGGAAGTAAAACTCCACTTTTGAAGAAAATGTTCAAAGATGGTTGAATCTGGGAAAGGAAGAACAGGAAGTATGAATTTTCATTTTACATCTCTCAGTTTTTTAACTAAAAAAATTTAACTATGTGTGAGTCTGTATGTGGGTATGTGAGTGTGAGTGCAGTGCCCATGAAGACCAAAGACATCCAATTCCCCTAATGCTAGGGTCATGCGTGGGGTGAGCCACCCAACAGAAATTGAACTTGAGTCCTCTGCGAGAGCAGTAAGCGCTCTAACTTCTGAGCTATCACTACAGCTCTTCACTTCGTTGTTTTCACCAAGAAACAGGTCATGAGCCAGTAGGATGGCCTAACAGGTACTGACCCTTATACCCAAGCCTGACGCCAACCTGAGCTCAATCCCTGGGACCACTTAGCGGAAGAGGGAACCAACTCTGCAAGTTGTTCTGACCTCCACAGGTGCACTGGAGCACATTCACCCACACCTAAACACACACATACAAAACACACATACTCAAAGTAAATGAATAAATGTGATCTTAAAAACAGCCATCTAAGCCGGGCGGTGGTGGCGCACGCCTTTAATCCCAGCACTCGGGAGGCAGAGGCAGGCGGATCTTTGTGAGTTCGAGGCCAGCCTGGTCTACAGAGTGAGTTCCAGGAAAGGCGCAAAGCTACACAGAGAAACCCTGTCTCAAAAAACTTAAAAAAAAACAAACAAAAAAACAAAACTGAGCCATCTCTCCTGAGAACAGCCTTTTTAAGATCTGGAAGAGTTGGGGCTGGACAGGTGCCTCAGCAGTTAAGAGCACTGACTGCTCTTGCAGAGGACTCAGCTTTGGTTCTCAGTACCCACATCAGATAGCTTACAATCACCTCCAAGTCCAGTGCTCTCTGGCCTTTCCAGGAACCTACATGTTTGTGGTGCACATAAACTTATTCAGACACATACTATACATAAACAAAAATAAATAACACATCTTTCTTTCTTTTTCTTTTCTTTTCTTTCTTTCTTTTTTTTTGTCTTTGTTTTTGGGGGTTTTACTTGTTTGTTTTTCAAGACAGGGCTTCTCTGTGGAACAATCCTAGCTGTCCTGGAACTCACTTTGTAGACCAGGTTGGCCTCAAACTCACAGAGATCCACCAGCCTCTGCCTCCCGAGTGCTGCAATTAAAGGTATGTGCCACCACACCTGGCTAAATAACACATCTTTTAAAAACTTAAAGAAAAAAAAAAAAAGATGTGAAGAATCAGGCTGAAGAAAATGCCTCAAAGAGATGACAGGAGTTTGGATCCCCAAACTCCATCTAAATGCTAGGTGGGCATAGCAGCTCACCTACAATCCCACCTCAGAAGGCAGAGACACACAGCAGACTCTCCAGAGCAAGCTGGCCAGCAAGATCAGCCATATTAGGGAGCCCTTGCTTTGACTGAGGATCCTGCCTCAAAGAATAAGAAGGAAAAGCTATCATGGAAGATTCCTGACATAAACCTAGGTCTTCCACGTCCATATGCCCACACATGCATGTACATTGCATACACAATTACAAACATGTATACATTCATGGACGTACACCATATGCATATAAATATGAAAAGAAAAAAGGACTGGAAAATGCTTTTTAAAAAAGATATGAAGAATTAAATTAAATTCATTAAATAAAATCTCTATGGCAAAGAAAACTAACAGTGACTTTATAGGCATTATCTCATTTAAATCATCACTAAAGCAGTATTTACCTTAAAGGATTAGCATCTTCACTTCACACATGAGAAACTAATGTATGGTGTGTTCAAAAATCATAAAATGACAATGTTTTAGGATGTAGACTCAAACCTAGGTCTGTGGCTCCAAGTCTATGGTCATCACTGCCATACTAGATTATAGTAGCATTTGATATTAATACTTAGGATGACCTATCTATCTGTTTCTAGAACGGTGATGATGCAATTATTTTCTCCTATGCTTACTTCTCTGGAACCTTCCACCAAGTAGGAACACTTATTAAGTTTCTAAAGTAGTTAAATCTCACAGAGTGTGTTTAGTCACCCCCACGAAGGAAAAGAACAATGAATAATGGAGTCTGGTCTCTCTAGCAACTCACACCCACTCCAGGTAAAGCCTTCCACTGTCCACCTCCTGCTTGGCCTGTAGCTTTGCTTGTTGATAAACTTCCGAAGTTTCCGGTTCACAGAGGCCCAGCTGTACAATATTAGGAAATGGCTGCCGTCCAAGAAGGTGTCCATTTAAGGATAAAAACTCTTGAAAATTCTCACAGACTGCACAGTCCTATGAATAAACTGAAATCTGTTAGACACATAGCCAGAGCAAAACCTGACATCTTTTTCTTTTATGATCTTGACATTTTAAAACTTAAATGAAATATTCCCTACATGAACTAAAATATGAACAGCCAACCACTAGGCAATAAATACAGTTACAGTGTGTGTGGTGTGTGCTCGCTCACTTGCTCGCTTCTCTCTCTCTCTCTCTCTCTCTCTCTCTCTCTCTCTCTCTCTCTCTCTCTCTCTCTCTCTCTCTCTCTGCCACCTGGCTGTGGCTCAACATGTAAGCCCACAGTTACTGCTGTGCCTGCCTGCATGCTCCCTGCCATGACAGTCCTGGACACATCCTCTGAAATATATCCAAGCCCCCGATTAAACGCTTTCTCTTCTAAGTTGCCTTGGTGTCTCTTCACAGCAACAGAAGACAGAAGTTAAGACAGAAGTTGTTACCGAGGACTGAGGCACTGCAGGACAGGACCGCCCATACTGGGTTTTGGAGAACTATGGAAGACAATGGGACTCTAGACTAGAAAATGCAGCTGACTGTCCTAAGTGGGGCTTAACTGGCCATCCGAGCGGAAGCTTGGAAGACAGTAAGAAGTGCAGACAGCAGTGTGGACTGTGGAGGCCCAACTCAAGAGGTTTCCGAATAGAGCAATGTTAGTAACTGGGTTAGAGACCATGTTTGTCATAATCTGGCAAAGAACGTAGCTGTTTTCGTGCCTTGTCCAATGAATCTGCCTGAGGCTAAACTGAAGAGTTCTGGACTAATTTCATTCATGGAGATTTCAAGAGAAAGCAGGGCAGAAAGACATACTGGATCCAAAAATAAATAAATAAATACAGTGGTCCTCTACTAACTTTTAGACTCAGAGTAAAAAAACTCAGTATCACTGGGCATGGTGGTTCATGCTGTTAATCCCAGAACTTTAGGCAGAGGCAGGCAGATCCCTGTGAGTTTGAGGCCAGTCTGGTCTACATAGTGAGTTCCAGGACAGCCAGAGATATATATACAGTGAGAACCTGTCTCAAATTTTAAAAAAACCTGAAAACCATCTTCCTCAATTTTCAAACTTCAACCCTCCCTATAGTCTCTGCAGGCCAGGAAGCAATTAACTAAAATCAAAGGTCACCGAAAGAAAATGATCTCCATTCTGCTCATTTCCACCATTAAACCTAGAATCAAATGTCAAAACGAGACATCCTTTAAATACTAAGTGTTCTTGGTGGCAGTGCGCACGCCTTTAATCAATCCCAGCACTCAGGAGGCAGAGGCAGGCGGATCTCTGTGAGTTCGAGGCCAGCCTGGGCTACAGAGTGAGCTGCAGGGCAGCCAAGGGTACACAGAGAAACTCTGTCTTGAAAATACAAAAAATAAAAACAAAAACAAGAAATAAATAAATACTTCACACTAACACACACCTTTTCATCCAATATATGACTGTATTCCACAAACTCATGGATCAGGTGGGCGGGGCCGACAAGTTCCGTTTTTGCTTTAATCCAATCCAGGGAAAACAATAAAGCACAAAGTTCCTTAAAAATAAAGGAAAACAGTAAGACAGGGGCACTGTTTAAAAAAAAAAAAAAGAATTTCAGCTAGAGTCTCATCATCCTAACACTACTGAGAAACACTCTGCAGACATCTAAAATTTAAGACCAGAGGCAAGATAGTAAAATGAACATATAAGCTCAAAGAAATATAAAATGGGCCCCACATCTTAACTCAAAATCAACTTCAGTTGTATAAAGGATTTAAATATAAAACAATTTTTTTTTTTTGTTGGAGCTGAGGGCCGAACCCAGGGCCTTGTGCTTGCTAGGCAAGCGCTCTACCACTGAGCTAAATCTCCAACCCCTAAAATTTTTTAAGAATACAAGAGATTCGGTAAATTATTTTTTAACTCTGAGGTAAAGGAAATCTTTGCAATCATGACACAAAAACAAGACATAAACACATGTGTTTGTGCTCACATGTGCAAACATACACACACAAACACATGCACACATTTAACTAGATAAAAATCCAAAAATCTATACAGTAGAAAGCAATATATACAAAGCTTTCAAAGATATATGAATAAACATTACTGTAACACATAGTAAGAGTCGGGCTTAATGTGATTCTTTATAGAAAATCATAATGAAACAACATAAATGCCAACAAGGAAAAAAATGGGTAAAAGGTGAGAGGTCTCAGATGTGGAGCCACACACCTGGATTCCTAGGCTTCAAGAGTCTGAGGCAGGAGAACCACGAATTTGAAGCTGGCCTGGGCTGCACAGGTAAAAGCAAAAAGAAAAGAATGAGAGCTAGTTCACAAAACAGATGTGCATGTAACCAATCATCAAAATTTCACCAGTAATCAAAGTGAAAGATTACCACCTCTACAATGCTGAACTACTAAGACTAAAGGAAAGGTAAGAATACTGGCTACAGCCGGGCAGTGGAGGCACAGGCCTTTAACCCCAGCACTCAGGAGGCAGAGGCAGGAGGATCTCTGAGTTCAAGGCCAGTCTGGTCTACAAAGCAAGTTCCAGGACAGCCAGGGCTACACAGACAAACAGTGTCTTGCAAAACAAAACAAACAAACAAAAAAGAATATTGGCTATTATGAAACAAACGAACACTCTCATCCACTAGTGGAGGTGATATAGTAGAGAATATTCTACAGAGTGGTTTGGCAACCTGGACTCAAATTTACACTGTACACACCATTAATCCAAGACTTTTACTTACAGAAACGTACGTAAGACAAGATACAGATGGGAGCTGGGGAATGGTGACTCAGTGGTAAAGCCCTACGCAAACGTGAGGCTGATCCAGGAGCCATGGGGGAAAGCCAGGGTGGAGGGTGGTGCTTGTAACCCTAGTGCTGGGAAAGCAGAGCAGGCAGAGCCCGGGACTTGTTAGCCATCCAACCTAACCCACTTGTTAAGTCTCAGGCCCCTGAGAAACCCGACCTCAAATAACAACATAGATACCTCCTGAAAAGTAACACCCAAACAACACCTGGTCTCCACATGTACACATGTGCACAAGTATATGAACACACACTTGCACGTACACATGTGCACACAAAAGCAGTATACAGCTTTAAGAGCTGTATCACGCCAGATAAATGACATGAAAAGACAACTACCAAATACAATTAGTGGCAAAAAGCAATATATAATGTACTATTTCAATTATGAGCCTTCTGGTTTTTTTTTAAAAAAAAACAAGTGTCTAAGTAGAAAATGATCTAGAAAGCAGTATATAAAATTATTGGTGCTGGGCGGTGGTGGCGCATGCCTTTAATCCCAGCACTGGGGAGGCAGAGCCAGGCGTATTTCTGTGAGTTCGAGGCCAGCCTGGTCTACAAAGCAAGTTCCAGGAAAGGCGCAAAGCTACACAGAGAAACCCTGTCTCGAAAAACAAAAAACAAAAAATTATTGGCAATTACTGTGGTCTTCATTTTCTTCATTGTAGATGTCTTCTAAATTCTTCCAAAGAAAATAAATCTCTACCTTTACAATCAGAATAAAGGCTAAAGAAAAAAATTCTGCCACACTATCATACACGTCAAAAGCCTTAAGAAAATGCACTGAGGCATGTATGGTGGCGCAGGCCTTTAATCTTAGCGCTCGGAGGCAGAAGCAGGTGGTTCTCTTGAGTTCAAGGCCAGCCTGGTCTACACAAAGAGTTCCAGGACAGCTAGGACTGTTCCAAAGAAGCCTTGTTTCAAAAAACAACAAAAACAAACAAATGAACGAACAAAAGGAAGGAAAAGAGGGGGGAGGAAGGGAGGAAAGAAAAATTAATGAACTGGTTTTACAAATTTTTTTAAATACTTTTTTTTAAAGATTTATTTATTATGTATACAGTGTTCTGTCTGCAGGCCAGAAGAGGGCACCAGATCTCATTACAGATGGTTGTGAGCCACCATGTGGTTGCTGGGAATTGAACTCAGGACCTCAGGAAGAGCAGCCAGTGCTCTTAACCGATGAGCCATCTCTCCAGCCCCCCAAAATGTTTATTTTTTTAAACATATTTTACTTATTCTTTAAAAAATTTCCTATATCTAAACCATGTATCTTGATCATATCCACTCCCCACTCCCTTTAGGTGTTCATAAACACATTTTCTTCTTAACTTGTATCTTATTTTAATAACACATTAAATCACTTAGTTCTGCTCACATGGGTATGAGTATGGGGCAAGCCACTGGGGTACAGGCAACCTACCAGTGCCCATACCCCCAAAGAAAAGGGGCTCTTCCTCCTCCAGCGGTCATCAACTACCAACAGCTCCTCAATGAGGGGTGGGACCCCATTAGCCCCTTCGCATTCTGAGCTGGAATTTTTTTTTTTTTTTTAATTAGAGGGTACTGGATACCCTGGTACTATAAACAGTTGTGAGCCACCATGTGGATACCGGGAATCAAACTCAAGTCTCCTGGAAAAGTAGCCAGTGCTCTTAACTGCTGAGCTATCTCTCCAGCCCTCTCCCTGAGCTGGAATTTTTAAATGGCTTGGTCTATGCAGGTTTTATACAGGCAACAGTGATGTCATATCCAATAGGCAGCATTGCATAGTGGAGTTGGTAGTCATGACGTCAAATCCCATCTGTGTACTGATTCCCAATTTTTGTCCATAATTCTTGGACTCTCTAACAGCTTACTCAATGTCTGCAATCTTAGTAGGCAGATGTATTAGGATGAAGACAGCCACTGTCAATTCCTAACCGTCTCCTTTTCAACTGCTTAGTTCATGTCCCAGCAACTGCCATCTCCCTACTGCACAGGCCTGCAGGCATCCTTGATTCTTCTCCTCCTGTTACACTGCACATCAAATCCACCAGCAGTCATGGGTATCCCCTTCACCATCCCTGTGCTTGTTGTTTTTGACTCTTGGCTCTTCTGGCTCCTTGAGGGGCCCGCCACCCAGCTCCCAAATAATCACATGGAGACTTATTCTTTCTTATAAAGGCCCGGCCTTAGCTTGGCTTATTTCTAGCCAGCTTTTCTTAAATTATCCCATCTATCCTTTGCCTCTGGGCTTTTACCTTGCTCTACTTCTGTATACCTTACTTTACTCCTTACTCCATGGCTTGCTGTATAGCTGGGTGGCTGGCCCCTGGAGTCCTCCTTCTCTCACTCCTAGATCTTCCTTTACTTCCTGATCCCTCTTTTTCTCCTTCTGTTTATCCTCTCTGCCTGCCAGCCCCGCCTATCCTTTCTCCTGCCTCACTACTGGCCGTTCAGAGCTTTATTAGACCAACCAGGTATTTTAGCCAGGCCCAGTAACACAGCTTCACAGAGTTAAACAAATGCAACATAAAAGAATGCAACACATCTTTGCATCATTAAACAAATGTTCCGCAGCACGAACAAATGTGACACATCTTTAACTAATATTCTACAGCAATCCCTTCCTCCTCTATGATTTACTCATTGTCTTACTATAAATGTAGTTTCTCTTCCCCATTGTCTATTTAATGAGCAGACACTGTCTATGGTGTAGACTCACAGTGAAGAACAATAGCATTCTCTAACAAGTACTCAGTAAGTACCCGATGAATGAATGAATATCCTTTCCTGCCCTCCATTTCCACATAAAGCTAATAAACAAATCCACACTGCAGACAGAGGGGAGCTACAGCTAAGAGGAGAAACTGGTTCATTTGCTGCAGTCACTAAGATACCCTTTTTTTAATCACAAGAAAAAAATAGAAAAAAATCTTACACAAGACATATTTTCACTAATTAAAAAAAAAGTCTAGTTGGGCAGCGGTGGCACATGCCTTTAATCCCAGGACTCAGCAGGCAGTGCCAGGCGGATCTCTGTGAGTTCGAGGCCAGCCTGGTCTACGGAGCGAGATCCAGGACAGGCACCAAAACTACACAGAGGAAATCCTGTCTCGAAAAACCAAAAAAAAAAAAAAAATCTAGGGCTGGCAAAATGGCTCAAAGGGTAAAGATGCTTGCACCCAACCTGTCGACCTAAACCTAATCCCTGTAGCGCATATCGAGGAGGCAGAGATCCAACTCCCACGAGCTATCCTCCGACTTCCACGTGCACTCCAGGCCATGTATACACCCACACACATACACATACAAAATAAATAGGTAAATATAATAAATGACATTCTTTAAATTCTAATAGGGTAAAGCATGACACCAAAGAAAAGTTTTACATAGAATTTAACTATGTAAAAATTCAAATATCCAGTAAAATAGAGTAATATCACTTTTATTAATTTCTTAAAATTTAAGAAATACCTCAAGGAAGAGTTAAAATAAAATTTATTATTATAAATTAAAATAAATATAAAATAAAATAAAAAATAAAATAAAATAAAATTTAAGAAATACCTCAAGGAAGAGTTAGAGAGACGACTCAGTGGTTAAGAGCACGTGCTGTTCTTGCAGAAGACCCAAGTTCAGTTCCCAGCATCCACATCAGGCAGCTCACAACCATTTGTAATTCCGGTTCCAGGGGCCTGACACTGTCTTCTGGCATCCCTGGGTATTGCACACACAAGGTGCACATACATACATGCAGTCAAAACACTCATACACATAAACTAAAAATAAAATCTTTAAGAAAAATAAATAAACCCGAAGGGAAAAAACATTTACAACCTATGGAAAAAGTTAAGTGAAATAAAGTAATTTTCAAAAGTGTCCTCTCACTTTGTGCATATTGGCACTGGCCATGTGATAGGCTAGGAAGTTGTACCAATACATGCAGTCCTCCTGATCTGGAGACAGAGTGTTGGGCTGGTAATACCTCTGAAACTGAGTGACCATCTTCCTGTGCAGATCCTGAAACACAAAGCAAGAATGTCACAGGACACAAACAATATAACCTGAGCAGCACAGTATCTCCTGTTTCCAAAGCTATTAGGAAAATCTCCCCTACAAGCTAGTTACTAAAGAAAAAGTTAGATTTACAGTGGAGAAATCAAGTAAATTCCCCTTTAAGCAAATAATCAACATCTACATTATCCATAAGACACATCAACCTCAATCCCTGACAGGGTGTGACAAACGCACAGCAGCATTTCTGTGTAATTCTTTAAAAAAAAAAAAAAAAAAAAAAAAAAAAAAAAGAGCCGGGCGGTGGTGGCGCACGCCTTTAATCCCAGCACTCGGGAGTCAGGGGCAGGTGGATCTCTGTGAGTTTGAGGACAGCCTGGTCTACAGAGCGAGATCCAGGACCTACACAGAGAAACCCTGTCTCGAAAAAGAGAGAGAGAGAGAGAGAGAGAGAGAGAGAGAGAGAGAGAGAGAGAGAGAAGCAAGTGCTCTTCATCACTGAGCCATCTCTCCAGCACCTGTGTTATTCTCACCAAACAGGTAGAACTCAACCCACTCAGAAGCCATCAGACAAGACCAAACGAGGGAACGCTGATTAAATTAGCTGAGGAATTTTCATAAATCTGAGGACATTAGTGAGACAACAAAGAGGGAAAAGATGCTGCCATTATCAGATCCACCATGGGATCCTGAACTGAATCTGACTACAGAGAGAACATTGGAAGAGAAGGTGGTAGAATTTTAAAAACATGTGGATTAGCTAATAATAGTGCATCAATGGTAATTTTCCTGGTTTTGATAACTGTATTATAGTTGTGTGAGATATTCAAAATAAGGGAAACAAAGCAAAAGTTTACACAAAGGAAGCATGTGGTATATTCTGCATACCTTTGTATGTCAAGTCTAAAACTGTTTCAGAATAAAAGGTAAATAAATGCATACGTGAGGAGATTTAAGTACCTGGAGCTGACTTCGATTCTTCTCTGTCAGAAAATCTATTTGAAGATCATGTAAATAATAACAAAATGACTTTCCATTCCGATCACAGAATAAGAGAGACTTATTAACAAACTCCTGCAATATATCTTCAACTTCTTCAGTTTCCAAGTCCCAGAGAATACATAACACCTAGGAACCATTTTAATAAGCACTTAATATACCACAAAAGTACAGTGAGTAGTAAGTACTATAGATAAACTGTTTTAACCAATACATATGATTTTAAAGCCCTGAATAACAATGTCTCCACATCTGGGCAGAGCCTGGGGAATCTTGTGGAAGACAGGGAGGAAGGATTGTAGGAGCCAGAGGGGTCAAGGGCACGACCCACAGAATCAACTAACCAGGGCTCACAGGGGTTCACAGAGACTGAACCGACAATCAAGGAGCCTGCATGGAGCTGACCTGTGTGCTCCACACACACGTTAGGGTTGTGTAGCTTGGTACTCTTGTAGGACTCCTAACAGTGGAAGCAGGAGGTGTCTGACCCTTTTGCCTGCTCTAGGAACCCTTTTCCTCCTACTGGGTTTCCTCGTCCAGCCTGATAGGAGGGTATGTACCTAGACTTGTGGTAACTTGTTATGCCATGTTTGGTTGATATCCCTGGGAGGCCTGCTCTTTTCCAAAGGGAAATGAAGGAGGAGTGGATCTGGGGGAGAGGGGAGTGGGCAGCAGGAACTGGGAGGAGAGAAAGGAGGGGAAACTTGGTCAGGATGTAATATATGAGAAAATAAATTTAAAAAAAGAATGTCTCCATGTCTTAAGAAGTTCAGTTAGTTCTCAGGATAAAAGGAGAAAGTGGATGCTTCTCTGACTTCTCTAGAACGACTGAGAAAGAATTAAGTGACTCACAAGCTCAACAGAGAGCCCTTTAATGGAAGACTAGGAGCAGAGGGACTTTGGAACCATCACCTATCCCCTCAGTACCGATTATCAAAGTTCACATGCCATAAATAGCCGATGATAAGGAATGTTGGTCAGTCCATTACCTTTGTAGGGACCTTGACGTCCTTCTGGAGGATGGAAAGATCTGTGTAATAATCTTTGATATCTTCTCTGAGCATGTCAACACTTATAGACATGGCTTCATCCAGAGCCTCATAATCATAAAAGGAGGATTTGCGTATTCTCTTAAACTGCTTATTCTGAAGTTGTCTGAGGTAGTACGCCCAGCGATTGGGAAAATCACGTAAAAGTGCACCAATTAAAGACACTACAAGAGGAGAACCTGGCGGGGAAAGAGATTATGTTAAGATCATCCTATTAAAATCACCACCAAACAACTGAAAATTTAATCTCGCCCCAAGTGTGTGTATGGAGGTAAGTGTGGGCATGTGTGTGGGTGGGGGAGTAGAGAGGGAGTAAGCAGGGGGGGTGTGGGGGGAGGTGAGGGTGTGAAGGTCAAAGGACAACTAGTAGGAGCCAGTCTGCCCTTCCATGCAGACTCTGAGGATGAAACTCAGGTTGTGAGGCTTAGCAGCAAGCATCTTTACCAACTAACCCATCTCACCAGCACAAGAAACAACTCACAGTGCAAGTTATCCAAAGTCTTAGGACATTTCTAACTCCCGCTTCACTTTATGTCTTCTAAGTCAATCATTAGAACGGGAAAGATTTCATTTACAGGTACACATTATAACACGGTTTGCTCGGTGTATTTGTCCAACCCCTTTGCTGCATGGCAGTCCACACTTCAGTCACACCCGTGCAGTGAGGTTCAGAGAGAGCTGCAGAGGCTGACCAAGAATGAGCCCCTGAAAGGTGCCACAGTGAAGGCAAGACTGGAAGCTCGCCCCTCGCTCCCGAAACCTACCAGTGCACTCTTATCCGTATCTCTGTATCACCCTTTCTAAGGCACTAAATAGATGTCCCTGCTTTCTGTGGACTGCTCCAACAAATGAACCACACTTGAGGATTATAGCTGCTGAGTCAGGAGCATGGGTACCACAACCTGGAACTCATTAACTGGCATCTGAAGTTGGAAGTAGAGAGAGGTAGTTGTGGGAACCAATCCTTCAACCTGTAGGATGGACGCTTTTTCCACGTAAACCACTTAAGAATTAAATAAAGGACATGTGGTGTCAGAGGGAATCTATGCTGTCAAAGTTCAGTAAGAGAAACTAAGTCTGAGATCATGGTTTTTGTTTCCCTCTATGTCCTCAAGACAAGTAAAAAGTTTTACTTCACAAATAAAAACTTGAAGTTGGCAGACAACAGCATTTACTTACCAAACTGAAACATTCATTTTATAAAATTCCAAACGAAATAATTTTTAAATGATGTTCATAATATTTTTCACTGACAGTAAAAGTTTTAACTTCATCTTTCTCATTAACATACTCTTTAACATATGGTGGGTACAAGCAACATTACTCTGAAGAATAAATGCCAAGTGTATTCACTTGAGGTATGAGAGGTACCTCAAATATTAATGCCACAAAGCAGGTTTTGAGTGTTCATGTGCTAAATTAGCGTACGCTTACTTTCTAAAGAGAGCATCAGTGTTTCCACAACCTCCCCTCATACACAGTTAGCGGCCATACCTTTGCATTCTTTTATAATACTGTGAGCCTCTACTGGCAAATCTTCTTTCTTCATGTTAACAAAAAGTGACAAGATTTCAAGTCCCTTCTCTTTCCCTAGGCCACTCTCCACAGACACAACATACTTAGGACCTGAAGCAAAATTGTAACACAACGTCAGCAATTTGTTATGTCACGTATGGACATGTACTGAATGAAACAATGCCTTTTAATTTACTAACTACTATAGTATTAGAAAGTAAATTAAGCTGTATGAGTTCCTTGGTCGAATTTTTGGGGTCACTTATGTATACTATCATGTCATCTGCAAATAGTGAAAGCTTGACTTCTTCAGCCTTGGTGTAGGGAGGAGGGGACTGGACCTGCCTCAACTGAATGTACCAGGCTGGGCTGACTCCCCAGGGGAGACCTTGCCTTGGAGGAGGTGGGAATGGGGGTGTGGATTGAGGGGGAAGGCTGGGGGATGGGACAAGGGAGGACAGGGGAATCCTTGGCTGATATGTAAAATTAAATTAATTATAAAATAAAAATATTTTAAAAAAAGTAAATTAAAAGTCTTACCCATTACTGAATCTGTAACACTCTTGTCTCTGGTTGTAAGAAGAATACGACACTGGTTGTCAAAAGCTTTTAACACCCAAGGATCCCAAATATCATCCAGGATCAACAGAGACCTAACATAAAAAAAACCGAAATAAAATCATGCTGGGCGTGGTGGCACACACCTACAATCTCAGCACTCGGGAGGCAGAGGCAGGTGGATCTCTGAGTTCGAGGCCACCCTGGTCTACAGAGCAAGTTCCAGGTCAGCCAAGGCTACAGAGAAACCTTGCCTCAAAACAAACAAATCACTAATGACTCTTATTTTACACTTCCTTTAGAAACAAATTCTAAGACAAGAGCAAGGTGGCAGACTAGAAGTTTCTTCCATGTGTCTCCATGAACAAGAAGAGTCAGGGTAGCAAAGGAGAAACTAGGGTTCCAAGAGAAAAAGAAAGGAAAAGCATGAGAAACTGTGGTGGTTTGAATAAACATGGCCCCCATAGGGCCCCATGTATTAGCATGCTCAGTCCCCAGCTGATGGACTGTTTACAGGATCAGGAGGTGTGGCCTTGTTGGTGGAAGTGTGTGGACTTTGGGGTTTCAAAAGCCTATGCCAGGACCAGTGTCCTGTTCTCTGACTGCTGCCTGTGGATAAGGATGTACAGCTCTCAGCTCCTTCTCCAGCACCATGCCTGTCTGCTTCCTGCCATGATGATAATGGACTAACCCTCTGAAACTGGAACTCCAATTAAACCTTTCTTTATAAGAGCTGCTTCGGTGGTTCTGGTGTCTCTTCACAGCAACAGAATAGTAACTAAGTCAGAAGTCAAGGTTGGCGACAGCACAAAAAAAAGTAAACAAAAGTATGCATGCACATACATACACAACATAAACTTGACTTTTTTTTAAAAAGGCTCTTCAGTTAAAAGAACTGGCCACTCTTACAGAGGAGCCAGGTTTGTCTCCCCAAATTCACTGGGCAACTAACAGTCTGAAATTCCAGTTCTAGGGGATCCAACACCCTCTTCTAGCTTCCACAGGCACCAAGCAGATATGTTGCACATACATACATGCAGACAAAATACTAATACTCATAAAACAATAAAAATAGTTTTTAAAACCAACAGAAAAACAGAAGGTTAACACAAAGGGAAAAGAAAAAAAGTAAGAAATAGTCCACACTCCAACACAGTATCCTAGGCAGAAGAGGAAACATACTACAAGGTAGCCAGAGAATCCTCTGGACAAAAGCCTGGAAATCCCAGACCCAAGAGAAGCCCCCAGTTTTCCAAAGCCTGAAAACTGGTGTAGGGATTGGGGTAACAGCAACACCTCCTACACGGCAGGCTAGCACTGAAGAAAGGAATCCTACCACCCTCATAACTTTGAGTGCTTACAGCCAGGTGCTCTCTTGAGAGGGGCCTACTGTTAGAGCCTGAGTTACTGTGGGTCCTGGGAAACAAAAAACCAGCAAGCCTAGGGAGGCCCTGTCACAGGGTCTGGGTGGGAGATGACCATGAGAGGTAGTTGTGAAGAGGGAGGGGGTCAGACATGAGCCCCCTGGGAAGTCTAAGCCCTGGGGAGCTGACTATGGAGAAGTCCTGCTCAGTGGCCCTCCCATCTATGGAAAGGCAGGAGTCCATGGCCTGGGGGTTACTGACGAGACTGAGAGTACCCAGACAGTAGTCACAGACTACCTAAGGACCCAGAGCTGCCCCTTTGCCACCTGTGACTTGCTGCCAGGCAGGTCTGAGAGTTCTATGCTGAGGTCTCCCACATGGCCGGAATGCCACAGCTTCCCTTGCCCTGAGTGGCTCATTACTGGGTCAGCTCAGGAAGCACTGATTCCTGGAGCAGGGATGCAGTTCCTTCCCGTCTCTTACTCCAATGCTGTCTGCTTTTCTACCTTTAACACACTCAGGAGGTATGCTCCGTTTGCAAGTCTGCCACTCCTGCCTCTGGAGCAAACGGGGACCTGCAAAGCTTGCTGGGGCAGCAGTGGCAGTCAGCTCCAAGAGGGAAAGCTTCTAAAGTGAACAGTGTCCACACTGAGAACTCAGCCATGGTCGGCCTGTCCCCAAACCCACATAGAACACCAAACTGTACTGTGGGAAGTACAACAGACTGCAGCTGCGCCTCACTTCCCACCTCCAGATCTGACAGAAGCCGTGGTTAGAGGGCCCAGAAGGAGGCTTCTCCAATCCCTGGCTTAACCGTTTCTCAAAACCAGAGTCAAGTATTGTTGCATTCCTTAAAGTCCAATAGTTTATATTCTTGTGTGATCTCTTGACTGTGTTCTGACGAATAAAGCTCGCTTGGAGTCAGAGGGCGGAGCTAGGCACTAGCTGACCATAGAGGTTTGGAGGACTGTAGACAGAGAGGAGCAGGAAGTGGTAAGGCGGGGCTGAGAGAGGACCTCGGCCCTTTTGGACGGAGGAACTGAAGAGGTAGGAAATAACTGGTGGCTGCTCCCTGTTCTCTGATCTTCAGGTTCCTACCCCAATATTTGATTCCCAAGGTTTTTTTGATCATGATTAGTTAGATTAATGCTTCATCATATTTTATTCCTCTTACCTTTACCTAATTTTATTTTTTTTTTTGTCTTTTTTTTTTTCAGGAGCTGAGGACCGAACCCAGGGCCTTGCGCTTGCTAAGCAAGTGCTCTACCACTGAGCTAAGTCCCCAACCCCCTAATTTTACTTATACATTTTTATTTTGTAATGGAATTTTTAACTTTTATTTCTCTTCACTTTCCTTCTTCTCCTTTTTCTTTAATTTTGCTTCTTGTTTCCACTTTCCCTGAACCCTCCTTTATTCATTCTTTCACATCTGTTTTTTTAGTTTTAATAATTTCAAAGTTTATTCTATTTTTTTTTTAGTTTTTATGTTATCCTTGTACTTTCTTTTCTCTGGTTACTGGGTGTAGAAGTTGTGATGGACATCTGCTGTATTTTGTACTTAAGTTTCTTTTGGTGGTGGTGGTGGTGGTGGTGGTGGAGGTGGAGGTGGTGGAGGTGGTGATGATGGTGGTGGAGGTGGTGATGATGGTGGTGGAGGTGGTGATGGTGGTGGTGGTGGTGGTGGTGGTGGTGGTGGAGGTGGTGGTGGTGGTGGTGGAGGTGGTGATGATGGTGGTGGAGGTGGTGATGATGGTGGTGGAGGTGGTGATCATGGTGGTGGTGGTGGTGGAGGTGGTGATGATGGTGGTGGTGGAGGTGGTGGAGGTGGTGGTGGTGGTGGTGGTATGGCAGACTGTCTTCCCTTCCCCTGGTAGTACTGGGGAGTGAGCCCTCAGCAAAAAGCTACCCATGAAGATCCTGAACATGACTCCTCCAAACGCTTATAACTTCAATAATTATACCCAAAGATACCAAAATGATTAAAATCTAAAACCAAACTTGAAAAAAAAAATCTGTCCTGTAGGACCAGTCTGATGGTGCTAATTAAGTCAGTTCACTTGGAAATACTTTATTTGTCCTTCATTTCTGAAGAATAGCATTTCTAGGCAGTGTTCTTTATTGTTGAAAAACTTTACTTTTCAGACTTTAACTATATCATCTACTCTCCCTTAGCCTGTAAAGATTTCTACTGAGAAGTCTGCTGTTAACCAAGGAGGGATTTCCTTATAAAAGCCTTGATGCTTTTCTTATTGGAGAGTGGGGTCGTTTTTGTTTTGGGGTAGGTTCCCACTATGTAGCCTTGGCTGGCCTGAAACTTGCTATGTAGACCAGAATAGCCTCAAACTCAGAGATCCACTTGCCTCCCATGGGCTGGGATTAAAGGCATGTACCACCACGCCCAGCTTCTTGTCCCTTTTTGCAATCAGTTTTGTCCTTTTATTATTTATTTATTATTTTATCTGACTGAGCACTTCTTTAATTTATCCATGTATTTATTACTTATGCATAGGTGTATGTCACATGCATACACCATAGCGTGCACATAAAAGTCAGAGGACAACTTGCAGGAGTCAGTTTTCTCCTTCCACCATCTGAGACCTAGGATCAAACTCAGGCTGTCAAGCTGGGCAGCAAGCTCCCTCACCCACTGGGCCAAAGCCCCTGATTGTGTTCCATCTGTCCTTGTTCTTGAGACAGTCTCACTATGTAGCTATGCTATCCTCAGACCCCCATTCCTCCTTCCTCCTTCCTCCTGAGGTTACAAGTGTGCATCACAACACCTGGACCTGGATGAGTAATTCCAAAAGACTGAGCTCAGAAATTCTACCTTCTGCTTGATCCAGTTTGAGATTCTCAACTGTAGTTTTAATCATGTGATTGACTTCACTGGGTTCAATACTATCATCCCCTATCATATTAAATTTCTCATTCAGATAATGTACTATTTTCTTAATTTCTTAATTTTACTCTGTATTTTCTCATATCTCATTGAGTTTCCTTAAAATAATTATTTTTAAATTCATTTTCAGGAATTTATCACGTTACTTTTCTTCTAGGTCTGTTGCTAAAATGCTGTTATATCCCTTAGGAGACATCACGTTACTATGCTTTTTCATGGTTTTGTGTCCCCAAGTTAGTATTTGTGCCTCTTCCAGTGCTAGCCAGGTGGGCTACATTGACTCTGGTTCCATGTGGTGTAATAATGTAATGAGTATGAAATTTCTTCAGCTATAATCAAAATCTGGACAAAATCTGTGAATACCTCTATAAAAAAGGTTACAGGGGTATGGTGGTTTGAATTAGAACAGTCCCCATAGGCTCTTATGTTTGAATACATGGTCCCCAGTTGGAATTGTCTGAGAAAGATTAGGAGTTGTGGCCTTGTGCCAGTGATGTGCCAAGTTGTAAATCCCAGTATGCCTCTGCTTCCTGTTGGTGGTTCACCAGCTGAGTTCTTGGCTGTTCCTGCTGCCATGCCTTTATTTGCTGTGATATCCAACAAGTATTATATAGGCAGGATAAGCAGAGAGGAAAATTCTGAGAAGTGGAAGGCTGAGTCAGGAGACGCTACCAGCCACCACCATGAAAAGCAAGATGTACAGATACCGGTAAGCCATGAGCCACGTGGCAAGGTATAGATTTATAGAAATGGGTTAATTTAAGATGTAAGATCTAGCTAGCAAGAAGCCTGCCACGACCATACAGTTTATAAGTAATATAAGCCTCTGTGTGTTTACTTGGGTCTGAGCAGCTGCAGGAGCCAGGTGGACACAGGAAAACTTCAGCTACATTTACTCTGCCAAACTGTAAGCCCAAAAGAAACTCCTTCTTCTATAAATTGCTTTGGTCATGGTGTCTTTAACTAAGACAAGAGGTTTATGAGATTGTTCCACCAACTGAGATGCAGCAGAAGGGATATGATCATTGGGATCTGCTAGACACTAGCCTAGCCAAACCAACTACAAGCTGCAGGTTCTGTGAGAGACCTAGTATCATGGAGCTATAGAGGAAGACACCCAACAACTGCATTTGACCTCCTCAGGTGCACACACGGGTACATATGCACACACACACATACACCACACACAGTTCTCAGGCCAGTGTAATGAGTTCAATTCCCATAATCCATGCTAGAAATAAAGAACCAACTCCTCAAAGCTGTCTTCTAACCTCTACACAAAACACACACACACACACAACTAAAATAATAAACTTTAAAATAAAATAAATCAAATGGGGCTAGAGAGATGGCTTGGAGGTTAAGAGCACTGGCTGTTCTTCCAGAGGTCCTAAGTTCAATTCCTAGCAACCACATGGTGGCTTAGAACTATCTATAATGAGATCTTGGTGCCCTCTTCTGATGTATAGGCAGACATGCAGATAGAACACTGTATATATAATAAATAAATTTTAAAAAAATAAATAAATAAAATCCTTTTAGCTAGGGATACAGCACAGTGGTAGAACACTTGCCTAACATGGATGAAGCCTTGGGTTCAATCCCCAACCACTCAAAAATAAGAAATCCTTCCTTCTTTCCTTTCTCAGTCTTTAATTAGTTGTTCAGGGTTTTTTTTTTTTCTTGTTCTGTGTTGATCCAGCAGAAACAGTTTATCCAAACCAAGAAGTTTGCATTTTCCAACAAAGACCACTCACCCACTATAAACTGTCTTTCTCAAAACCCTACCGTGGCATGTAGGAGGCAATACAATAAATAAGATACACAAACGAGCGGTTTAGACCAGTGGTGGCCGCTCTCTTTTGTAAAATTAAAAGACAGACAGCAGGAAAGCAGTGGCTCTCTGGAAAGGGCACGGTGTTCTCAGGATGTCAGTAAAGTTTCCTACGCTACCCACACTGGATCACCTGTACCTGGGGTGTTTGCGCAGCATCAGAACACGAAGACGGTCTTTAGCCTCCTCGATATTCAGCGGAAGCCTCTGAGAGAAACTCTCCTCCTGATCCAACCGTGTGCAAAGATTCTGCAGTTTCATCAGAAGTCCAGATTTGTCTTGTTTTCCAACTGAAACCCAGTGTACACCCCCCGGGAAACAACCTAATGAGGGAAAAAGAGTAACTGTATAAATGTAAGGCCTCTGAACGAGAGCCCTCTCGGAGTGCTCTATGGTAAGTATCAAGTGCATGCCAGTCTTCAGTCTCACTCTGTACCTTCTCTGCAGTCAAGCTCCAAATTTGGATAGGAGTTTACTGCTGCACTACACCCTAAATCTAAGAGGAACTGAAGATTTTCAGTTAGGACAGTATCTGAGGCTTTGAGGGAAGTGTTTTTGCCTTACCAAGCGACCTTTCATGATCTCTGTTCCCAGCAGTCACTGACTTGTACGAGTCATCTCTCAGTGCCAGTGCTCTTGACACATGGGCGGAGTTCTTCTTTGTTGTGAGGGACTTACCCACGTAGCCGAGGACAGTTTACAACCTCCTCACCCCTGCTCTGGATGCTGGTAGGACCCTCCCTATCAGTACTACACCAAAAATATCTCCAAACACGGTGAAATACCCCTCTATGGGGAGAAAAACCATCCAGTTGAGAACAGAGGACGCCAAGGCTAAAGAG